GAGTTCCTGTTGATGGAGAAAACGAAAAGTGTGGAACTTTCCCCTTGTCACCCCCTTGAACAGGTGCCAATCTCTTTCAAGGTTTTATTATGTACAGGGTTCCCATACATGAATATCTTGTACAGGGTTCTCATTTCTAAATTGTTCTTTGTACAAGGTTCCCATCTTTGTATAAATAATTAGGTTTCACTTACTGTTTTCCCACAGCCATTGAAATGCATTATAACCGAAGATTGCAAGTATCCACTTAAAACATTACTGAATACATTTGATTTGAAAACTTCTTAAACTGTATTTAGAAGCAGAGGAGAACATTGAGAGAATATTTTATTCAGTGGAAGACAAAGGCAAACTTAAAGAAAAAGAACACCAAGTGCTCTCAATAAGGTTTAACCTACCTTCTGATTAGTGCTGTAGGTGCTCACCATTGAACTATGGAAGGCTAGTAGTAGGCTGTAGGTTGTTGAACAAGGTCCATGGTGAAAACTTTCTTCATACTGTTAGGATAGGAATGTTGATATGTGATACTTTTGTGCAGTGTATGATGATGCAAATGAAAGGTGAACATTATGCAGATGCAAAACTTACAAAGACATATCTTTACACTTGTGCTGTTGAGGGGTTTAGGCATACATTGTTTTTATATTTTATGTAGGTGAACTCAGAAGGCAAATAACACACATCCTTCACTCAAATGATCTTATTTTGTTAGTCATTCTTTTATGGTGCTTGGGACTAGGGCCTAGGTTTTCACAGTGTAGATAACAACAGCTGAGAAGTGCTAACAAAACATACTGAATTTTGTTATTTGCTGGATAGAGATTTATCCAGTAGATAGCTTTAGCCATCCTCTAAAAACCAGGGATAAGCATAATTTGCATGTACTTGGCATGTACTTGGGTGCTGTTAATGGAAAATCAAAGCACAGACTCCATGCAGTTATCAAGATTTGCCTTGCTTGTAAACATTATCCTGATAACTTAATGTTTTCACAGGCTGTTCAATTCATATTTGTAGCCTTTATGCGAAAAACTTGCATTTGTGAGTGCTTGTTGCCTTGAGGGCAATTTAAGGGGGACATCTAGATTTGCAGTATTGCTGAATTGGACATTTTTCTCGTGGTATTTTCAGAATTGTGGGATGGGGTTGATGATTGTACTCCTATTGCTCCACCATTCTGGGCCTCCTCCGGTTTGTGATTGTTTCAGAAACAGGCCGAAACTGAAAATAGCCCTAGGTAATGTTCCATAACAAATGCTTAATAATTGTTATTTCCATGCTATTTGCTCAAATTGTAACTTAGAAAGTTACTGTAGTGGATTCAGCATGAATTTTTTCTTGTTATTAAAGTATTGCTGTATTTGACAATTTTCCTTTTGTGATTTTCCAGAATTTGCTGAATATTTTTACAGTGTTCAGAACCCCCCAATATTCCCCTCCAATTTGTGACTGAATGTAACAAAACTTGACCTTAAAACTTACATGTATGAGCTTAGGTTAATGTTTTCCCAATTGATAACTATTCATTTTCTCTTTGTCCAGTCCTGAGAGTGTGGTGTTTTGTCAAAGCAATATGCATACATGCATGAATGTGTTTTTTATTTCTCGTACTTAATAACAATGCAGCAGAATGATAAGGATACAGCATGTGAAAAAAAAGTCGTCAAAAAGGATATTTTATTCTAATAAAAATTGCTTTTGAACTGAGTGCATTTCATCCAGAACTGTTTTAGAAGTAGAGTACTGTCAAGTGACGAGAGAATTTTGTCCATGTTTGAATAGGGAAAACATATAGACCAAGGTGTGGAGATTTAGGGGGAAGTTGTGATTGTGCCGATGAAGCTGGATAATTCTATGATCTCCGGTGGCTTATTGATGCCGTGGGCTGTCAAATGACCTCCTTTGAAAAGAGACAAAACATTTACTAAGGATTCTGATGTCAAGAAGAATGTGTTATGTAGTTAAATGGCTGTAATTGGTTGCTTGGGCCAAAACCAAAGACTCAATGTTATCGGGCTTTTCTCTTGATCTCTGAAAGTGTTTGTCAATGATAAATGGCCCACTAGTGTTTTACAGATTACGTTTTTTGTTTATTAATGGACTAAAGTGTAAGATTTGACATTGTTACAATTCCTAGTAGAGGACTTTGAAGTTATGTTGCAAAAAAATTTTTAAGAGACTCTGAAAGCCAGTCAGGTAAAATATTCATTACATTATTTGGTTTTTTAAAGCCTGGTTGTGTATGCTGGTATGAGAGTCTGTGTTGATTATATAAAAAATTTAACAAAAATAAAAAAACTGGTCATGTTTCTTGCGTAGTGTTTCACAAAGTTTGCTAAGTCTTTAAGTGATGGTTTTCATAATAAGATATTGCTTGAGAGTCTTTACTCAGAAGATGTAGAATATTTGTAAATGAAGTCATTTTGTTTATCAGAACAAAGTGTTTACATGTAAAATATACTTGAAGTTGCATCCATGTACAGGGTACAGTTTTAATTTCTCATAGTCCATCATTATGGTTGCAGTAAAAACCAGAAATGCTGATAGTTTCTGGGTGAAAGGCTATGGCTCTGTTATAATTTTGTATACTTTCCCATGCACATGAAACATTGAACAGTTTTATATTATTTCCAGACAAGCCTTAAATTACAATTCAGAAAGCTGGAAGCTGATCAATTATTTATACCTCAGATATGCTGGGGCGATTAAAAGACTTTTAACGGGGATTTTTTTACTGGACTCTTGTTAAATAACAAACTAATAAGCAGATATAAACACTTCTTCAAAACCATGATATGTTTCTTTGCGAAAATTGCCTTAACAGAATCTTTTTACAGGCCTGGAAAATTTTGGTGAATATTACATGAATGATATGACTCACATCTGTTAATTAAGGCATATGTTTTTGTTTTTCCTACTGTGTCTTGTGATTTGCCAAAATGATTTGACATAGGTCTAGATTCTTGGGCTAAAATTGTGAAATACTTACTGTTCTGTTGTTTTTCTGAGCTGTGAGAAGAACAAAATACTGTTCGTGTGATTGAATCACCTCTTCATCACTGAAATTTTTTAAACAAATTTCATTTAAATTAGAATCATTGGTCAAATTTACTACGCATATTGTGAATTGTGATCATATTTGCATAAAACTGCACTCAAGCAGCAGTTGACAACTCACAAAACGGACCTGTGGACTTGATGATGAATGTTTGGCTTGAAAGACGACAGCATCACCACGGTTGGTGTCTCTTGTAAAGGAGAAGGTTTATACAATCTTTATTGTCTTGGTTGTGCTTCAAATCTTTCTTCTGAAGCCAGCATGTTACTTCACGACTGGGTGAGTGACACAATGAAAGAGTTTGCTAAAAAAAAATTCATGTCATGTCGGGGAGTTATGAATTTCAAGCCCAATTGGTTTTTATTTTATTCTCTGGTAGACGTATTTAAAAGAGTATTTTGTCACAAATGAGTGAATTTAAAAGGGACTTTATGATCATAACTGCTTTTGATTTTAAACTATCATGATCACATCCATACAAATGTGAATATATGCTTTTTTTCTGATGTGTAAAACAGGGTATGTTTTTCACTGGTATTGCATGAGGTTCATAGTGAAAGAATGTGGTCTGTTGAATTTCATTTGGGTAACATTCAAACATCTAATGAATATTGATATTTTTTGGGAGTTGTTTCAAGCTTTGAAAACTGTGAATACTAATCCTGGGTTCAGATGTTGTGTAAACCAAGAAAGACATGTAGAAATATTTGAATTCTTTTCCTTTTTTAAAAAATTTGATTTGAAGCATCATGCATGTGGAAGCAGTGAAATTATTGTATGTATCTGATATGAAAATTTAAATATTGTATTTATAAAGCTAAGCAGATTATATTCAAGTAAAATTTGTGTATCATCGTCTGATTCGTCTCAAAATATGGCAGCAACATTATTTTTTTTGATTGTATGGTTGAGAATAAAACATGTCAAGATTTTTTTCTCATTAATTATGGTTTAGTCATGGAAAACCTGCTATAATTATTATAACTAGTATTGTTATATGTTGGTCATGGTTTGAAAGAAATGTTATTCTTTCTTTGAAATTTGTATAAAGACTGCATAATATTCAAACTTGCTCCTCCGATAACCTATTAGTGATTCTGACCTGAGCTTGGAATCTTTGATTATGTGTTTGACTAACATTTTATTGCTTTTAAAAGGTAACAAAATTCAGAGTTAAACAAGAATTCTTTAAAATCTATTTAATTGGGTATCAATCTTACTTTGCAGTGATAGGGAAATGACTGTTTGTAATAAATATAATGTTGGCCAGTCTTTGTGTTCAAACTCTCATTTCTTTGTTTTTTGATTGGTGCACTTAAAGGAGCTCTGTTATGCTCAGTTAACCCTTTAATTCCCAGATAAAATGTGCAATTCTCCTTACTGTCAACCATACAATTCTTGTAATCTTAGTTCAGAGAATTTAGTATTAGATCAACTGATTATCCCTAAATTGATATATTTCTTTCTTCTCAACACTTATCTGGTTGATATTGTATAGATATGGTAAGGAGAAATTAAAGAGTTTATTGATTTCAATCTTTTCAAGTTCATCATTTGAAATATTTATCAACCCTTAAACTCCCAAGATCCAATTGTTGATTCTTCCCTCTAGCTGCAACACATTCTTGTGTAAATCAGTTATGAGAGTTTGGCATTAGATCAAGATAACTTTCACATGATGAGTTTGAATATTCTCATGACCTGTGTGCTGGACAGGTATGAAAATTGTATGGAGAAGTTACATGGAGATCTCCATTTTGGAAATGGAGAGTTCAGGGACAATTCTCTCAGTCATGGAACCTATGCCTTCGAAAGCATTTAGCAGAATATTCATGTCACACCGTAGGGCTTGGAGCTGAGAGGAGCATGTGTATATGTTTTTTTTTCCCCAACTCAGTACCACAGTTTCTTCAGAAACTAACCCCCTTTATCTATTTTTCAGGATGTTGATAATAGAGAGTATCGAACATCTGATACCAGCAGCATAGAGGAGGAGAGGGAGATTTCACGGCGGGACCTACAGAGGAGGGCTTTGGAAGCCCTAGAGGCAGCCCGAGTAAGAAGCAGTTACAATTTTCAGTGTTGCAAAACTAGGAATATTGCGTTGAATAGCAGCCTTGCCTCAATGGAAGCAGGGTGCTGGGGGTTTGGAAGGAGCTTCCACTTTGTCCAGCTACCGCCACCCACTCCTTCTTCAAGATGAAATACCACCCCCATGGCTAGCAAATCCTAAACCCCACCATGAGCCAAAAAAAAACAACTGCCCCAGACAACCAAGGACTTACAGACAACTGATTTTAAAACTACTTTCAAACATTTGCGTTTAGATTCCACCACAGCTCACATACTTCTGAGCCTGCACTTGCCAAGGGGAATTGGCCATTAACTTGGCGTAACTTTGTTTTCTTTAGTTACGATAGGTCCACACTTAAGAGTTTGAAAATTATTTAAAAATACATTGTTTTCTTTTCAGTCCAAACAAGTTGCATTTGCTGTGCGAACTAACATTCCTTATGATGGAAGTGCTGACGATGATTCGCCAGTACACGGAGCGGCAGTCTCATTTGAAGCAAAAGACTTTCTTCATGTTAAGGAGGTAGGGGTTTCTAGGAGATCAAGTAGTGCTTGTAGCATATACGATACAGTGTCATTGTTCTATTTTCCAGAATGAAATTGTTTCCTTATAAAATTCCTCAGGCGGCTCATAATTCAATTCTCAGTTATTAAAATCGAAACTCGAGCCTCGGTACTCGACCCCTGATTCGCGAAGCTTCCAAGAATTCTCAAACTACTGCGCCAATTTCTTAGCAGAGCTGTGTTTTTTATTTAAACCCTATCTAACTGTAACCTTAAGTTTTGTTACTTTACACATTCTCCTGCTGAAACAGACTCGATAAAAGAATTCTACGTAGATATATGAACACTGTGTGAATTGAAATAAGAGATGTAAGCTGGTGTGTCGTTGTATTTGCAGAAATTTAACAATGACTGGTGGATCGGGAGAGTGGTTAAAGAGGGCTGTGATATTGGCTTCATTCCTAGGTAAATAAAACAACCTCACCAGTATATTTCCTTGCAAATGTTTAACTTGTATTAAGTGGTATAATAACGTGTTATTGACCGCGCCCAAGGTCAAGATGGCTCTTAAGCATAGAAAACTCAAAGCTTAGCTTTGGAACTCTTAAAGGTGGCCAATTTACGTGATCAACTCAGTTGATAACACCAAATTACCTTGTTACATGGCTAAATATCGGTTACGGTATTCTACCGTACACAAGCTGTTGTGGGATTTCTGTGTAGTCTTACTTCTGTTGAGATTTACGGTCATGCAAAGTTTTTCGGGTTTGAAGTCCTATTCAGTTTGATTTATATCCTGATGATCTTACTGCATACTTCCTTTGCAGTCCAAGCAAGTTAAATTCTCTCCAGCAGTTGGGTTTGAGTGGTTCTGGAGGAAGTAGGAGTAAAACGGGTCAGAGGTAAGGACAGTGTTTGTTTAATTAACCCTGTAATCCCCAAGAGTGATAAGCATCTAATTTCTCCTTACAATATCACCACTGAATCACACATCGGTGTCATGAGAATAAAGGAAATGATCACCAACCAAAGAAACTCTTGATTGTTGGACAAATTATCCTTGTCAGCTCCTCAGTAAATGTACAGAGAACAGTTTAGGGAATATGGATACCGATGTTAGTTAACACCCGTTTTAGTGGGTGGAAAGTGTTTTAGGATTCCTTTTCTCTTTCGATCCTGAGACAGACTAGTGTCTCAAGAGAATTTGTTCGCTTGATGTTATGCTTAAAGGGGTCTGTTTTGTAACTGATAGTTTTTTGGTTTGTTTGCTTCTTTGCATCTCTGTAGTAGGTCTGGTAGCGTTTTCCAGTTTGAAGGAATGATGAATCAAGCCCAGTCTCCAACAAATACTTCGCCGTCAAGGCAATCATCCACGTCGGGGCAGAGTAAGTTTTTGCTGTCTTTTCTTTTTGTGACACATTTTGATTGGTTCCTACTAATAATCTATTGGAGGGCAGACGCCTAGATGACGTCGTCACGTGATGTTGCCTTGCGTCTGTTTAGGAAGAGATCTTAGAATACTTACAAATGTGATGAGAAGATCAGCGACATACTCGGTTGCGTCGCGTGTGCCACTTGTTTTCCTATCACAGATGACGTCAAATTGACGTCATCTGTGATCTCTTACTTAACAGATGAACGGCAAAGTGCAATCTGATTTTTTTTTACTTCTGGTGACAGTTGATAATGAAAATGGTATGGAATATGACGATGAGCATAGTCCTTCCAGTCCGACGCCAAAATCATTACCAAGATCCGCGTCGGGAACAACGGTATCTTCCCAGGGAACCCAGAGTGGAAAAACAAAAAAGCCATTCTTCAAAAAGCAGCAAGAACAATTCTCTCCTTATGACGTTGTTCCTTCAATGAGACCCATTGTGTTACTTGGGCCTTCACTGAAAGGTTACGAGGTAAGAGTGATCCCCAGTTCGAGCAAAAATTGTGAACTGTTTAGGGCGATTTTCAATGGAGTGCCGAAGGTAACCCGAGATTTTATTGGTCTTGCCTCTCTTATGGTTTGTGTTTGTTTTATTGCAGGTCACAGACATGATGCAGAAAGCTTTGTATGATTACATGAAGCACAAATTCTCGGGAAGGTAAAGTTCTTCAACCGAGTACATAGCTCTGATCTCGTTAATTTGATTTAAATTTTAGACCGATTTTGTTGGCGGTATAATCTTTTGTTGTTTCATTGTCCGTCCTCCTAGAGTTTTCCTCTGGTTTTTCCAATTTTCTCCGTTAATTAATAAACGCAAGGCACTTTAGAATTTCTCACTCATACTTCAATTAATTCGTTGATGAGTAACTTGAAATGTGATTTTGTAGTCAGTGTGATAATGAGGATAATGATTTTTATGATACCTACTTATTGTTCTTGAATCCTAACTTATAAATCCTTCGCACTTAAACCAAAGCAGAACTCTTAATACGCTTTTCCTCTTGATTTTTCAGAATAACAATATCACGTGTCAATGCTGATATAACCTTGGCCAAAAGGTCAACTCTATCGAACCCAAGCAAGAGTAAGCTTATGGAAAGACCAAACAGTAAAGCTTCAGGACTCGGTATGGTGTTCTCGTTTTCTGCTTTCTAACTGCCTTTCGTTTGAAAACTGAATCATTCCCCAAGTCGCCACTGCTTAAACAACAGGGAGTTAGAGACGTCACTACGGCGACGTGTGTTAAAACGTTTCCGAAAAAATGTAATTTATTTTCCTCGAACGGCGTCTAAGAAATGAGAAAGTTTTGAAACACACGTGTTTCGCTGTTGTGCAGCTCATTAGATCTATTTTTTTGCTACGTTCTCGTTGCCGTCGCCGTCCTTGTTTTCATAAAGTCCCACAGTTTCATTGGTTTGTAAACCCTCCCTTTGGAAGCGGATCAAGAGGGAGTTTCAGGGGGACAGGGCCTTCTCCCCTATAGACCTGCGGAGCTTGCAACGTCAGGATCTCACATAACTAATTAACTAGTTGATTTTTTTGTATAACGATACATGTGACCGCGAAGAGGAATAGGAGGTGGAAGGGGGGAGGGCATGGGGTGATGTTTTTACTGTAAATTTGTTGAAGGCTGGAATAGGCTTGGTTGGTGTGGTACAGTGTGATATGTGGTCTCGACTTTCTTTGTGCGAAGTAAAGCTTTTAAGGGCTCAGATTACCATAATTTACTCAATTTTCTATTTGTTGTTGTTGTTTATTCTTTCAGCTGAAGTTCAGGTTGAGATTGAAAAGATATTCGAATTGGCTCGCGGGCTCAACTTGGTCGTGTTAGATTGTGAAACTATTAACCATCCAACTCAGCTCTTCAAGACATCATTAGCTCCTCTTCTTGTTTACATCAAAATTAACTCCCTCAAGGTAAGAACAGTTTTAGTCTCTTGTTAAAAATGAATTTAATTTTTGAATTATAATAGGGGCGTGAGAGCTTAAGTGGAAACCAAACGTGACGTAATCACAACAACCAATCAGAGCCAAGCTTAACATCACAGGGAACCCATAAGAATTTAAAGTAAACACGTGAACGGTGAAATGCGCGGGAAAATGGAGTAAGCAAGTCACGGTTGGTTTGAGTCTGGCATCTGATTGGTGGAAAACGTGGCGCGAGTTTGATTGACCAATCATAGGGCGTAGTGTACTAAGACTTCTAATAGTGATCCTGACTAGAAATAACTATTTTTTCCCACATGATGCGAAAATGTCTTTGAATCATTTGCCAGCTGGTTATACCTCTGCCTGCTGATATAACGACGACTGTCTATTTCCGAAAATTTTTCCAACCTTAATCCGTTGTTAGTCAGGTGCTCTCTTTTTACAGGCGGTAATTGTTAACCTTTCAAACGCTAAGAGTGACCAGCATCTAATTTCTCCTTACAATATCACCCCTGAATCATGCAGTAAGGTCATGAGAACAAAGAAAATTATCAGCAGCTAAAGAAATTGTTGATTGTTACACAAATTCTCCTTGTCAGCAACTTAGGGATTGTATGGGGAACAGTTTGAAGAATACCTTTACTGATGTTAGGGGGTTAAGGGTTGATATTTACCGCCTGTAGTACCTCTTGTTACCGTACCGCCTAAAATCGCTTGGAATTTATTGAAATTGAATAGCTTAAAATAATCCCTTACCAGTTTGGAAGTTTCCTTTACTTGTCGTGCTTAAAATTAAGAATGAATACTGTTTGTTATTGCCAATAATTACACTGTTTATTTTTAAACAGGTCTTGCAAAGGCTCATAAAAACACGAGGCAAGTCTCAGTCTCGGAATCTCAACGTTCAATTAGTGGCAGCCGAAAAATTAGCACAGTGTGGCGATGTAAGTATACCTTTGTTTTTTCCCTTGTTTTATCTGGTGTTCAAAACTTCCCGGCGACTTTTTCTGTACCACTTCAGTCTGTGCAATTTAGGAAATACGGGCGCTAGTATGGATGTTACCATTTTTTGTGTAAAATTTCGCAGAACGATGAATGTCAGTTTGCTTATAGTAATTTAGGGTTAAAATTAAGTAGCGGTTACTGAACTCGTTTTCAGTCACAGGCGCATAAAGCTACAATTAAGGGTTTATTTAAGAGGCTGTATTGTTGCTATGGTAACCTTAGAAGTCAGGAAAATGAAATACAATGTTGGATAAGAATTTTGGGATACCCTCTTCAACAGGAAAGTCGAGAGGGTGGAAAAGTTTTAATCCAATAAATAAGGAGCGTTTGAAATTAGTTAAATCATTCTGAATCACCTCAAGGATAATCAGCTAACATTTTTTTGCGCATTGTGTTTTTTTTTTCCTTGAAGGATTCTTATGACCTTGTATTGGATGAAGCACAACTCGACGATGCTTGCGATCACCTGGGCGAGTTCCTTGAGAGTTACTGGCGGGCGACACATCCGCCGAATCAACCTGGCAGCAGGCTGCCGAATGTCCAAGCGTCCCCATCAAGTCAACAGTATCACCCTGTGGACTCTAACGAAAGACCGAGTGTCTACCTGTGACATCTCCCATGTTGCCTTTCGGTGCAACTCTATTTTGCCCAAGCACGATTGGACAGAATTTTCTACCCATGTTGCATGTCGTGCAAATGAGCCTCTGTTTATTCATGGCCGTTGGGGGAAAAAATCTGTTAGTCCATTGAAAATTGAGACATTTCACAGTACGGACCAAGGAAAAACTCATGGCGAAAACATTGTTCATGTGTACAGTGAATGAGTTGTACCTGGTTCAGTCGCAATAATGGGGTCAAGAGACTCTTGGTGAGACTTACATGTACACTGAATTACGTTGAGGTGATGAGGCAAATTTCGTTATATTCCCTCTGCTTTGCTTTGAGAAGGATGGGTGGAGCGAGCCTGGAAACGAAATACATCGTAACAATGCAAGTGCCAAGTATTTAAGTCATTTCTTGATCGTAAGTGAACAAAGCCGTAGTAGAATACTTTAGATAGAAAATAGTCTTGACAAATTTCTGTAGAAAATTGCCGCCAGTGATGCAGCAAAGTAAGTTGTAGCTCTTCAAGGGGTGAAATGGCCGGTGAAATTAGCCGTGTTGATATGCATCAAGTTGTTGTGCTTCGTTTTCAACCTGTATCAGTAGGGTTACAGTCCTACGCCTTCTGCTACAAAACACCATCACCTGCCCCTCCCTAGAATTTTTCTTTATCGTCAAGCTAGTTAAGACGTGAGAGGCCCCCTTCCTAGGGCACACGTTGTCCTCCTCCCCAGTGGCTGGGAAGAAGAGAGAGGCCTTGGGAATGAGGTTGAGATGTTAGACTGTTATATCTTATTCGTCTCTTTGAAGGTAAAATTCCCGCTTCCGCTGGCTTTTGCTTTATCGTTGATTTTAACAGCGGTAGTGGCGAGTGCGTTTTGCTGTCGGCTAAGAAATAGTACTTGTTGTGATGTGTGCTTGAAGATTCGAGGCTCTTTGTCAGAACAACGATGGTAATTTTGGAAGCTTTTAAGGCTTTGACAGATTTCACACCTCAACGAAATCCTTTTAAATACACTGGCCCAGGTAGAGGAAAGCCTAACATTTTGTAAAGTATATTGCAATATTTGCGTCGAAATTGCGACTTTTCTCCTCCCTTTATTAGGAAAGCGTTCCTCGATGTAGTTGAGCAGTAGTTGGGAAGAAATATCAATTATTTAGTGAAAAAAGAAACATATCTGGCTGAGAGCCATGTTATCGGTACAGTATAAGCTATTTTATATTGTTTTAAGAAAGCAATGTGATACCCAACCTACTTAAAAATGAAATTTGCACTTATTTGTTTTTTTGTAACATAGCGTTTTTCGATGCGAAAATATCATCGCATTTTTTATAACTAGCGGAAATTTAGTGAGAAGTAAGAAATTGATAAAGAGCTTAAGGCAGAGACTGGTCCGAAGTACGTAGCTTTTCTTCTGTGTTGTGTATGCCTCGTTTCGTGGAGAATTATAAATTGGCCGCCTAATCGTTTTTTCAGTTTAAGCAATTCATTCTTTCATTCTTTTTATCAAATTGAGATTTGATACCTCTCTATCACTGCCTGGTTTTGCTGCTAAGTCAATCGCTCTAGGTAGTAGTGTCAGGGGTCGGGTATGATAACCAATCAGGGAGCCCTACTTCGCGCATGTGATCAAAACAGACCAATCACGATGTCTTGTTTTCGCGAAGAACGTCTTCTTATTTGTTCCCTTTGATCACATGTGCCAAGTAGGGCTCTGTGATTGGCTATTTCTGTATTCACCATCTACACTGTTTCGGTTATTACAAAAGGTGCCTGGCTGATTTGTCATCATCGTGTTATTTGCAATTGATTAATTCTAAGTTTCCAATTACAAACCTAAGGGGTTTCTTTTTTTTTAAATAGAAATTGCTTCGTGCGGGTGTTAATTGTATAGCGGCTTTAGTTAGAAATTATGCTTGACGATAAAGTTATTTTTAAAAGAATTGCCAAATGTGGGAAAGCATGGCTTATTGTACAGGTATATATGTGGAAAAACGCAATGAAAGCTGGGCTTTTTAAATTGGAATGTCGAGGAATGCGTGAAAGTATTCCTCTGGTTGGAAATTGTCTATCACTGCACCTCTGTATATTTAGGTCAGTAATTATTGTCAGCCACTGTTAGTTTTTATAATCACGGGAGCAAGTTCTACTTTGAAAGTTGACTTCCTTTAAAGTGAATCTTTTCCCAGTTTTGATCTCGATAACGCTAAAGTATCTATGTTTCCAGGTTTTCTGTTATAGACTATGATAAACAGAAGGAAATAAAGATGGTCAGAATTGGGATTATGGTATTCCCTCTCGTTGTAAGAAAAGGCATTATTTAAATGAGAATTCTTAGCGAAATTAGCCAATGTAGACGTTTTTCCTCTCACGGATTATCGCGGAGGCGAAACGGAGCTTTGAGGAAAGAACTGTCCAATTTGCGTTATTCTTTCCAAGGTTATTAGAATTTTTACGTAAGCCATAAGTTGCCAATAAGCTTTTCTGTTGTATTTGTAATGTATTTTCGGTATCTTTTTTCGGGATTGTCCTGAAAGTGTAAGATCTCTTGTAACCATCAATTTCAAAGATTTGAAGCGGCCTAATTACTTAAGCAAAGATTAACAAACCGAAAGGTATTGATAGCGAATGCGGATATGATAAGTATAGGGCCTCGCTGCGCGCTTCGAGCTCCGCTTTTATTACGAGGTGTGAATATTTTCCTGTCATATAACTTAGTAGTGTCATGAGTATCAATACCAATTCAAGGTTCGTTTGCTTCGACCATTGAAAGAATCTTTGATATGAGATTTCGCTCTTTTTCATGCTTTTTTATTTACATTTTTTCCTTGTTCTTGTGATGTTCTAGTCTTCATCACTGGTTTAAGCTACCATTAATCGCGTTTTTATTACCAGCAGTGGATACAGTACTGCTTATAACAGTACTTACTGTGAATTTTATTTCTTGGTGTTCTCTTAAAGATTTGTGTTGTAGGTCCGCTGTAGTATTATCTTCATAGTAGTATCTTCATATGAACCCTCTGACTCTGATGATCTGATTTTTACCTCTCAATAGTGGCTGCTATACATTTTGTCGTATATCAGTTGAAAGAATTTGACGTTGGATCAAAACACTACTTGATACAACCGCCCAGACTCACCATTTGATTGCTACATAATTTATTGAAATTTTGGAATGGAGAGATACGTTTTAAAATCACTTTTCGGAGTTAAAGGGTTAAAATTAGTTTTAGATCTAGAAACTCGGTACTTCAATGCCAGCTTTGACTTCTATCATTAACCAGGATTACCTAGAATGGATAACTCCTATCAGTTTGTAATATTTAAATGCAGCTCATTTCTTTGGAAAGCTGGTCATTGGAGTGTCCGATTTTTTTGTTAGAGTTAGGATTGGTCACTAGATTATTTTACTGATTATTTTATATTAATGCTCTGCCTCGTTATGAAGCAATTTGGTCCTCTATGGCAAAGTGCAATGCTCATCAGTGATTTGTAAATAAATTTTCAACACTACTTTTGTTGGTGTCTTTTTCCTGTGGCTCCATAGAGTGACTCTAACAGTAGTGAGCGGTAAACAGGCAAGTGCGGTCCTCCTACTGCACAAATAACTGTCTTAGATATCCCCTTGTGGCCAAGTAAATCCCCTCTGAATATTGAGATGACAGAGATTAGTTGCAGTTGCGTTACTCTCTGCCTTCTCTACTAGCTTTGTTCTGTCTTCAAAATCCTCTAGTAACAGTCGCACGCATGTGTCTTACTTTCTCCTATTCTAAGTTATGCCGAGATTTGTGCCCGCAATACAGTTGTTTGCGCGTGCTTAATTTAGCAACTTGTACGAATGTACGGCCGCGTGATTGACCAAATTTTCTTGGCTTGATGGGTTTCTATGAGCAAGTGTCACGCTCGTAATGCGCAATAACGTTTGCCGAACAAAAAGAATGCTGAGGTATTGACTTGTCCACAATGCAGTTGGCCGCGTGTACTAAAAGTAACACCTTGTACTTACGGTCGTACCGTTATACGTTACAAATTTTGATGGGTTATTACCCTTTTTACAAGTGTGGGGCTTCGCTACTCGCCCACTTAAAGCTGCGCTATTGGAATTGTGTATGTGCATTTATCCAGTCGAAAGTGGCCGAATAAAACAGCTCCTTCGTCTTAAATGCGTTTGGTCGGCACTTGTGCAGATTAAAAAACAGCAACTCCTTGTTTACTCGAAATACCCATGGAAAAGAAGAAAAACAGAGCAATATTCCGGGGGGGAGGAGGAGGGGGGGTTATGGTTAACTCAGGTAAATTGCTTCTGTAATTAGAAATGCTGCTCAGGCAAAATGCTTTAAGGTGAAATTCATTTAAGTTCGAGCTGATATTTCTAAAACTTTTCAACGCTGTTTGCAGCTTTCTATTGAAATTTTCTGAGTGGAAAATCGTTCTAAAGCAAGGATCCTACTTCGTTTTATAATTGAATGAAACAAAGCAAACAAATCTTATCGATTATTTTAAACCCTCCTTTTGTGAAAGTCTCATTTGAATTACAAATCATTTCTGAAATTAGTATTCACGTTTGCACTCAGTACAGTCTTGCACGTGGAAAGAGCTTACGAACTACACGAAATTTGAGCGTCTTTTAGAGCTTCTACGGAGCTTTACGTCATTTCGACCTTATTAAATTGGATATTGCCTGTTCTGTCCGAGTCGGCGAATGCTTCCTAAGCTGGTCCAAATGGTTTTGATGCTTTGTCGAGGATTCTTACTTTTCAGTTCGTCTCGACTTTTGTTCAGGTAAGTAACACGTAAAGATACATTTGGATGGATGTATAGTGTTCATCTTTCTCGCTGTGGTCCTTGTAAAATCAATGTGTAAAATCAAATGTGAGAAGTCGTAATATACATAGCACAGCCGCCATGACAGTTCTTCTTGAACATAGCTTGAGTAGCAACGCGAGAAATTCGTATTTTGTTAGTGTACTTATCGCTTATTTACTCATTTCTCTTTTTATTCCTGTACAAATTTTTCAGATAGCTTTTATGATTACAGTGCGTTGACCTTAAATATGTTTTAAATGCAGCTTGTCCTTTCCCTTACCCTCCCACCCCTCCCACAGAAAGTTAGCCACAATTGGCGTCAGTAGAAGTTGACACATCATGTTTGAAGAGCTCTATTTATGTATAAAATAACATTCCTGCTTCTACCACACTCTAAATCATTGACAAGAGCCCCCTCCCCTACCCTCCCCTCCCCCTTTCAATGTTGCCTGTACGTAGCTAAAAGTTCATGGAGTCATGATACATTTTTTTTCTTGGGAGAAGGGGGAGGCGAATAGGTTAACTAAACGAGAGCAAAAGAGATAAAAGAGAGAAAAATAGAGGGTTAGAAAGATCAATGTGTCAACAATTTCGCCGATTATGGGTTATTCCCAATCAACATATTTTTTTTGTAATGCTTAGTAAGTTAAAACATTGAAATTGTATAATGCCTTCGTTCGATATGACTAAAGGAAATTACATTTGTCAGCTATAAATGTGGTGGCTGTAAATAAGTTTTTCGATCCAGACGTTGACATTTACTACTTAGTATGAAAAGCACTCGGGTATGTACGTGTTCACAATATATTTGTCTTGTTTTTTTTCTCCATAGGACAGTTTCAAGAAGAAAGTGAGAACACCTCCAAATCAAGAAAGTCAAGGAAGGAGAGAAATACTCTGACAACGTCAAACAAGGTTAGATGGTTTACTTTTTTTATAAAAAATTAGTTATCTAGGCCTTTTTGTCTGCTTTTAAAAATGTAACCTGGATTTACCAAATGTTTCCAATTCGATACTAATTCGAATTCTGCCAATAATGAAGACTGAGAAATTCCAACTAAGAAATGAATCAATTTCCTCACTCAGCTGATTTCTTGGAAATACTCTGACAACGTCAAACAAGGTTAGATGGTTTACTTTTTTTTATAACAAATTAGTTATCTAGGCCTTTTTTTCTGCTTTTAAAAATGTAACCTGGATTTACCAAATGTTTCCAATTCGATACTAATTCGAATTCTGTCAATAATGAAGACTGAGAAATTCCAACTGAGAAATGAATCAATTTCCTCACTTAGCTGATTTCTGATTGTCGTGGCTGTCGGTTGTTTCCAGCAGTGTTCATTTGATGGATTAATTCCACCGTGAATTATCTTATCCACTAGTTGTCATTATTATGCATGTTAAGGCTAGTCATCCGACCAACCAAGTTACCATAGCAATGGTTAAACCTATCAAATTATCGTCAAGTTCTAAGATTAGAGAATGATTATGAGAATGATATCAATCATCCATTTCCTAGCTTTTATTGTTATAACAAATTAATTCAGTAGGCTTGTTCGTCTGCTTTTTTGGAATTCTCCGGCCGCTAGAGTTAGTATCCAAGAAGGTCACAGAATCGATTGTGTAACTTTAATGAACAGTCACAGTTTTCACAAGTTCTTCGCACGATCACGGTCAAAGGCTAACTTAAATCACACTGCTTCGGATTGACAACTAATTGGGTGTGCACTTACCGGTTAATTGACATATTTCCGCAGCCAACGATCACATAATGGCGTACTGTGTGCCTCAGTCCCCGACACTGCGTTGAACGATGTAACCTGGATTTAATGAATGTTTCCAATTCGACATCAACTCAGCCAATAATGAGAACTAAAAAATTCAACTAAGGAATGAATCAATTTCTTCGCTCGGCTGATTTCTTTGATCCTTCTCTCTGTGATTGAAGTGGCTTTCATTTGTTTTTCAGTAGCGTTCTTTTGATATATTTATTCCATCATAAATACTTTTCATCTGTTTCACCATTGTCAAAAAACCACCTTGTCATTGTTGTGCATGTTAAAACAAGTTACCCACCCTACCAAGTTACCATAGCACCGATTATGCCTATGAAATTATCTTCAAGTTCTAAGATTAAAAAAATTATTGTAAGAAGAACATCGATCATATAACTTTCTCTTAAGCTTTTTTCAGAGATTAACTATTTGCAAAATGCAGGCATTTTATAATTCAAGGTACAAGTCACTGGCCTAGCGCGTTTCATGTCTGCCTTGAGGCTCATTCAAGACCTTGAAATTTACGAATATTGCATTTAACGTTCTGCTCGCATCAAAGTGATTGTTTGAATCTAACCTGGCTTCACACAAGAATAACCACTTTTGCAACCTTCAAATTAGGCCACGATTAGCAGATTTAATTTCTTTTTAATAAACGGGATGCTTTACTTAAGCAAGACAATCCTTACTCAAGAGTAAACTGATAAAAAAAAGTCGAAGAGATTCGGCCGAGCTTATTCATTCACCGCCGGACCACATGCAACAGATGACAAACCGGGAAAGTTTCTTACAAGACATCCTGTTACTGTTGCATAATATTCCACGATGATAATCATAAGATGTTAGACAAGGAGTTCAAATTATGACAAATTACGGTTAACCTGAAGCCTCAATGTCTCGGCTCTAACTTGAGGCAAAACACAATTCAATATGCTTAGGATTTCATATTTCTTAAACTAAGTTATGCATTTTTTTGTATCTCTGATAAGTCTTAAGTCTGATCATTTCTTACACTATTAAGGAGTTTTAGATCCACGTTTGTTTCTGAATACGTGTGGCCACAAACATGTAGGAGTCGCGTGACCAGACTCCAGAGGTCACGTTTGCCATTTTTCGCCCACGTTTGAACTTCGGGCAAGGCAGTTTCAGGTACTTCAAATCCCTAGACACTATTTTTTCTTCCTGTTCGAAAGTTCTCACGTATGTCCTATAAATATATGTGAATTGAAGTCTTTTCTTTATAACCGATCCGTTTGGGACGCTAGAAAACCAATCTTTTAGCCACATTTTGTGCTTGAAATGAAGGACCCCCATCTTTGTTGTGTAATTCAAGATGGCGGCGCGCATGCTGATGCTCTTTTCAGGTGAAAGCCGACGTCGATCTAAAAGCTGAAAGTCTCGAGACTTCTTACTTCTGACCAAATTTATTGATTTTTTTTCCAGAATTATTTTTGAGATCTCTAATGAGTTTAATAATCTTTTGGTTTCTAACAAAAATGAACCTTTTTTTTCAATTTTAACGGCCAAACCCTTGGAGCCTGAGTGTTAGGAGGTTGAATTTGAAATAAGTTAAAGGTGTATATTCCAAAAGTAGATAGCAGTTCTTCCTGCTCTTGTCTACTAGTTGTATGGAACTTTTTCTTTGACGTGATTCAATTAAAGTTTTTGATCCTAAGTACTAACACTCTCCAACTCGAAATTCTTAAGCCAATTTATTAAAATTTGCTTTAATTAAAATTTGATTTTTGTTCTTCAAAGATTGCTCCTTGAGTTATCATTAACTGGTATAGATCTTTTTTGACGTGATCTCAATAAAAAAATTTTAGAGACTAAGGGCCGGTATTTAAACAAAGTTTAGCCGTTTTTGTGTCTCAAACTGCCTTTAGTGTTTCTCATCAACTGCATAATACAGTAGGCTTCGTTTTTCCAACGTGATTCAATAAAAATCTTGACCTTACTTTTAATTTCTGCGCTCTAGAAGCTGAAACCAGTAGAAAGAGTTTGCTAAATAACTGATATTACTTTCTCTTATTTTATCTAGAGGTTATCATCAACTCATATATAATTTTTCAACGTGATTCATGGAGCCTTATCGTTCATAGTGTCTGAGCTCTTGAGATATAAACCAGATAAGAATAGTATGCTCCAAAACTTGATCTTTGTATCTCAAAGTGCTTGAATAGTTTATCATGAAATGGTAAAAAAAACTTTTTTGACTTGATCCTAGAAACATCTTATAGAGCCTAACTATATCAAATCTGTAAGCTCTTGAAGTTAAAAGCAAATTGAAATAGCATGCTCCAAAATGTACTTGTCTCACCGTTTAATTCTTAAATATCAATTGGTTTTTAATTTTTTAAAAGGGGACACTGGTAACTTAGTCAGCTCTTTTGGTGAAGAAAGCGAAAAAGAAAAGTATCATTCGCTAATAGAATTAAAGATTCTCCTCCAGAGAACAAATTGGTTTAGGAACTAGTTTTACATGTTAGTTAACTTCATTGCGTGCTTTTCACTCTATTCCTGTGTTAGATATCGGTGCAATTTGTTGGCTTAAAGATATTATATCCCAATAAAAAGCATCTCGAAAAATGTTTCGATAGAATAATTAAAACAATGCAGACAAAGTTTTGAATCCGATTTGCGTCGTTATTTGTACATTTTCACCAAAGTACAGAAGCTTTAAAGTATTTAGTGCCACCTTAATCCAAATTCCGGTAACACGAAATCAAATGGCGTTGCTTGACAATGGAAGGAATTTTATGAATTCAAAGATGTTCTCTGGGAAATGATTTATTGAATAAATACATAGATTGATTTTATACATTTTAATAAAGCTATTTATCGAAGAATAATTTCAAAAATAAAATTTGTCAAATAAGCAATTTAACGGCTTTCCCTGGTTAAAAACACCGCTCAGTCATATTAAATTTTTATTTTTATTCACATTTCTATGCTTGATTCAAGTAGGATTCGGTGCGAACGAGAGCTTGCAAAAATATTCAATAAAAATAAAGTCAACAAATCATATTCAGATTCTTTTATTTTTCTGTGGCTTTCTCGTCGTAACTAGTCACTGACTTGCACTTATTTTCACGTCCCTCATCTTTCTATTTCTATGCTTGGTTCGAGTAGGATTCGGTGCGAACGAGAGCTTGCAAAAATATTACTTTTTTGGATTTCTCGTCGAAAATTTGAACAAAAGAACTGTATTTCGTCTTGATAAGGACTTTGCAAATGTAGAAACTAAATTTATGCAATATTTAGTTGTTGGTGAATTCCTTCGTGATCAGAAGGATGAGTGACACAGCTTGTCTTTGCTTGACTGATAAATGAACTGGTTTAATCCCTGAAAACAAGCAGGGGAAAAGCTAAGTTTTTTAAGTCCAACTTGAAGCCATTTCGAATGACTACAACAAAATTCCTCAACTTTACTAGAATGTTCAACAGCAATCGGTTTGAATTTATCGTTAAATCCAGGTTACTCTTAGTACACGTTCATAAATTGTGCGGTGTAGTCACCTAAAATACCTAAATGCCTTTTCTTGTCCAACATTACAAAGTACTTGTTTCTGAAATAACACTGCACTACAATCACTTGATAAAACGTGATTTATTCTGGCGCATTTGTTAATTTATGGTGTATTGTTTTTTCTTCACAGACTGACAGGCGAATATCTTTAATGCTTCAAGCAAGAATCACACAAGAAAGGCTATGATCCGAGTAAAATATACGATTTCAAAAACAGAGGTAGCTCTTTGAGTCGGAGCTAAGCTTAAAGTCGAGGACGCATGCGCAACAACCTTTTTTAAGATAGAACATTTTCAAAAACTTATACGGGCGCTTAAAGTACGCATGCGTCAATTTTTCATTATTTATTCTGTAAGTAACATCTGTTCAAATGTGGCATTGCCAAAGAGAATAAATATTTTGCGCCATTTTTTTTAAAAAAAAAAAATCAAGTTATGTACTATCTACATTGCCAATGAATATGTATTATTAAAGTCAATAAAGTAAAGTGCTCAGCTTGGTATCTTTTATTGTTTTTTTCCAATAAACCACAAACGTTTTGTATTCAATAAAATGTTTTAAATTCTCTTTATCACAAGTTAATTAAAAAATTTTTTTCGTCTATATACTAAGACTTTTGGCGGGAAAATTTGGACCAATTTGCACAGAGTTTCCCCTGGCAACTTTTTCGGCAAAAATTTTAACAAGGCTTCCTTTAAAAATTACCGCCAAAAATTACTAAACAGTGTCTCGTGCAAAAAGAATTGGAGAGCTATCGTCAATTCTATTTCAGTCTGGATATTTTTTTTCGTTCAAAAGAAACTCTGACCTAACAATTTCCTCCAAACCTGTTTTGTTTTAGACTTCAACTCTTTGCACGAGACAATAAGTGGAAGTTCCTAACGAAAAAGCATCATGGCAAGCTATGGAGCGTCCGATCAGAAATATTTGATTTTCTTCCAAAATTGTGGACGATTTCAGTTAAAAATTTGGTTGTAATTCTATTCACATTTTTGCTTGCCCTGATGTTTTTTTCTTCGGAGTAAAAGATCTTTAAGGCTGTCAGTTTCGAATGTAACACAGGTGGGAAAAGCACCGGAAAAAAAATCGACTTTGAGCCAATTCCTTCATCATAAAATTTCTGTTTTGACTAAATTTGAAAGAAAAAAATGAACTATTGGAGTATACTCTTTGAATTTGGTTGTAGCCACAAGAGCTAGGACATTTCACAATTAACTCGCGGAATATTTTTTAAAAAATACGACAGTATCAATTGTTAGAAAAAAATACTGGTTGATCTCGGCCGCAAATTAGGCTCCAAGTTTCTTATATCAAATTCGAAAATAAAAACGAGTTATGAAGTTGGACCAACCTCTTTGAATTTGATTTTAGCCTCGCAGGCTAAGACATTTAACATTTAGGCTCCGTGGTTGTTGAACTAAATTCGAGAAGTTATTTGAGAAATGAAATGATATCAATTATTGAAGCAGATTATTCTGAGTTCTATTTTAGCCAAAAGGGACTATGACATTTGAAAGTTGGGCTCCAAATTATGATGAATTCCTGTGACGAATTATTAGAAGAGATTTTGGTCGTTAAACGCCTTCAATTTCTGTTTTATTCTAAATATGAAATGAATTTGATGATCAAAACTTCATGTTTTTGTCGATCATTTTTCTTTTCTGTATTCCTGTGTTACACCAAGTGACTGCACAAAAGATCTTCCTTCCACTTACAATAATGAGTAAATAAACTTATTATAATACATTTTAACACCAAATGCCGGGTCCAAAGGGTAACAAGTAATTCTCTTCTCGAATGCGACTTGCTTTAAAGTTTTGTGGACTAGCTAGAAAGTTCGTATTAAAGGATCAATCTCATATAAACCAGTAAAATGACAACCATCGCGGTAAAGAAATCAAAAGTACTAGCTTTTCAAAGCGAGGACGTACTAAACTCATATAACTTCCATAATTTGCATTTTTGTTTGCGCTTCGATTTCATGAAGTCGACGTTCTTTCCGTCTAAATTTCAATTCTGAAACAAGTAAATATGTTTATGATTCCTTAAATTTCCACAAAACTCGTCATAAATATGTGAAAAAATTCAACTAGAAAACGTGATTACTCTTTTGATGCAGAAAACTATCAAATTCCCTAATTTTGTTTGATTTGAATTTGACTCCAGCCTTTGTCTGGAAAAATTAACGTGTTGTACCAAAATTGAAAATCGTGATGAGCATGTAAGAATGTAATTTTCTTGTTCATGCGAGACAATCATGACTTTTCATAACAACGAATCTCCGCCAATTGACTTATTCATTGTTTACTGGTCGAAAGATTGGACTCCTATATTCAAGTTGATTTTCGAGCTTTTTCTGAACCATTTGCGAAACGTTTCACTACCTTAATTTCTATTAAATTAAGTCTTCTCGAAATATGAAAACCTATATTTCTTCGTTGTCAAAGGAGTCAATTTTAACTGGTTTATATAAACTTAAATTTCAACTTAATCAGTTTCTCGAAAGAGCACGTGACCAGGCATTTGAGTTAAATTTTAAAACATATTACTTTTTACCAAAATTCGAGCTCAGTTGATGGCACAAAGTAACGACATAATTAAGATGGCACTGTACTAAATTCTTGCTTCGTGTATGGAAATAAGTACTTTCTTTTTTTAAATAAAAGTTCCCGAATTTCCAGTTAAATACAGTTCATGCCGAGAATGAATTTTCATTTTAATAAATTTTTTTGGCCAACTTTTTTCTTGGTATCATTTAATCGTTAAGTGTGATCGTCCAGGTATGACTAGTCCTAAAAAGGCTTGTTGTGGAAACTAGCGTTTAGCATGAGCAGATGTCGTCAGAGGCGCAAGTGAACGATCGTTTAGAAGTCGAATGTTATAACTTCGGTTTTGAAAACTGATTGGTCAGTTTTGCAGCAAAGTGGCTGTCAGACTCAAAAAGCGTTTGTCCGTTAATTAGTCTGTTTTGATCAGCTGGTAAGGTTAGTTTGGTCTGTTGATGACTGCGTTGTTTTTTTTTTGAAAGTCGTTTGTAGAGTGCCGATCGTTTATCGTTTATGTTATCTGTTACGAGGAGTCTTGTCCAAGTTAGTTAGTCCAACTGAGTTGGTCTTTGCGGATGGCGAAAGTCGACGGTGTTCAGCAATATGATTTTTGACGTAAAGAAAATACGCAAAATCAGTCAAAATCGTTAAAAGATTTAAATTTTTAATTCCGTTTGGTCTTTGTCCGGCCAGGGTATTTTGTTAGAGTGCCATCTTAATATCACCTTTGTGTGACATCAACTAATAAACAAGAGTGATACCAATTGTTAAACAAACCTAAAAAATTGAGCGATCACAGTTTTGATATGAAAAATTTAAGTATCAGCATTCCGTAGCCAGAATTATACCAGTTTTCATTTGTCTCGGTCTTGAATTCGATGTAACGAGGTTATATCTGAGATAAATTACACCAAATTATAGCTGGTGGTTCAAATAAATCAAATGATCGCTCAGAGTCTGCGTAACAATCACTATCACAGCAAACTATTCCAAAAATGGTGGCTAATTAAGAACTCTTCACTCAACATGTAATCACTTTTATCCAGTTCAAGACAATTGGGAAAAGAACAAAGACTTTGTACAATAATTAGAAATACAAAGCGCCACCATTTTTGCTAGTATTACTAAATAATTTTAAAGTTCTTATCTCTGCAGTATCCACTAATAATTCAGTGACTCTGTTGTCTTCTCTTGACCAATCTTTCTTCTTTCATCCTTCTGTCAACATTTCTCTTCCTGAAAGTAGAAAATATGAATGTCATTGGGGAGTGCTCAATTTCCATGAGGACAAAATATAGAAATTATAATTCTGGACAATTATTTTGCTATTTGACACAGTTTTAGGACGAGGGAAATCATCCAAACGTTTTAAAATTTTGTTTACAGTGAAGCAAAGGCCACTGAGTATAAGAATCATCGCACCTTCTCGTGGCTGCATTCGAATACAAAATTAAGTCCCCAATGCATTTAGCGAGCGAATCTTTTTTATCGGAGCGTTTCACTAAAATATTTTATAATCATAGGTTCGGTTTTTCTCGAAGCCAACACCCTAATTTAGTCTAATTTCGAGTTGAGGCGCCTAGACCGCGGAGCCGATTCGTGCTACGTCGTTGGCCTTACACAATACGGCTTGTTAAGACCTCTAAGGGAGATTAAGGCGATATTATCTAAAATCAATGCTCACCTGCTGTTAAGAGTTTTTTTGTTGCTGTTTTTGCAGGTCCAATTTCTTCTTCCTTCCAGAGTACAACGTTATTTTTAGCACAACAGACGGTAAGTCTTAACTCTACGATGGGCAACGTGGTTTACTGAAAATTCTACAACTTCTGATGAATATGGATTAACATTTTCAGCCAATAATCGGCAGCTACGTCACATATTTGGCACGGAGTTCTGTTGCACGCTCAGTCAACTAATCAAGAATCAAACTAAATAAAAGGCATTGCAAGTGACGGATTAGCATGCAACAAGAGAAAAAAAAATCAGTGCAAGTGAACTTTAGGAAGTATTATGCGATCAGGAAATTAAATCTGATACTCGAAAATAGCTAATTTGAAGTACTGATATTATTAAGAGCACTAGAACTCAGTTTTTAATAAAAAAAAAAATACTTTAGGACCCATTTTGATATTGCGTGAAAATTGTTGTTTATTTTCTTACGAAGAGCGTGTAACAAAAAGAACGCAAAGAGGATGACGCACTGTAATTTACCAGTGAAGAAAGAAAAACATGAAGAAATTAACGCATTTTTAATCTCTCATGAAGGAAGAAGATTGAAAGTTCGCAGAATTAATTCAAAGCGCTGTCATCCTATTATACAGACAGGAGAAATCAAGATAGGCACTGAGTTACTTTATATTGACTAAGAGACCAGCCGTACGGCGCATCAAGCAGCAGTAATCCTAAGAGTTAAGAATGCGTTAAAAAAATGAAAATAAAGTTCAATAAATTTGAAAGGTAGCTGGATGATGTTTATTATTCTTGTTTCGAGGATGGGATAAAGAAAAAAAATTAAAATCCGCATGAGGAATTAAACATCAATCCTTCGGATTTCGCCCTCCGATGCTCTACCGCCGAGCCACAGAGACACCACCTTGAAGTACGCTATTACAAGATCGATATGTAACACATTTCCTGCATACAGCTACGATAAGCAATGTCAAAAGCGTCACATGTGTGAACAGAATAAGATAGAGACAAGACGAAGAAACATCTTTCTTTATCGCTATAGCTATACCGAATTCAAAACTGACCATCTTTCTTATTTGAAAGGTTTTTCATAGTTCTAAAAAGAGTGATGTGCCGCTTACCTATGGCCAGTTTAAGAAAAATCCTTTTACCCAGTTGCCTTGTCTAAGACCGCGAATTGTGGCACATTAGCCATGATTTTGTGTTTTACAGGTGAGCAGAGGAAAGCGCGAGGCAAACGTGAAGAAAGCGTTAGGCGAGCGTGAAGAAAGCGCGAGGCGAGCGTGACGAAAGCGCGAGGAGCGAGACTTATGCAAGTAGAGGAGCGCGGTTAAAAAAAAAAAATCCGCTCGCAGGTGTCTCGCCCTGTACGCTTTCATCCGCTTGCCTTTGAGACTTAAAAAAATAAAATTGGCGCCTATTCCTCAGGATAGTTCCACATTGACCTCGGGAAGCCGCATTCAGCATATTGAGACTTACTACTTAAAAAATAAAGAAGCCTGGACTGTGATATGTTTTGTTGTAAGGCACGCATGAGGCAACTTGAGCACGATGGCCGCAGATTGACTTGAACTTGCGCATCGTACCACAGCGTGATCGCAATCGCTCTAACATCATGATTTGTGTAAATTTTTGACAGAGACGCCAGTTTGATTGTATCTCTCATTATTCCTGTTTTGCTGTGTCTTTTAACACGAAACTATACCATAAGAGTGCTAGCTGTGTTTGAGTTTTATTACCGTACTTAGGCTAAAGACAATCTTACAGCGTAAAAACATTCAAAAACGAAAGCAGCCCATGAACGAGTTAAAAGACAAAAAGAAAATTTAAAATCCACTCTTGCTGTTCTTCATTTCCCCCTCGATAGCCAACAGAATTTGCACCCACCCCTTCCCTATGAGTGTGACGTTAACCCTAGTTTATTATCAGTTGACTGTTGTTGAGTTAGGGGAGGGGTAGGTTTGCAGTTTTTCAGGTACTGACATTGATCCAGTATTTCTAACTAATAACTTTGTTTAATCTCATTTCCCATTTACTTTTGAAGAAACAGGAGTTGAATACAAAAAAAAAAGAAGAAAAAGAAAATAAAGTTCTTGAAGTATCTTTAATAAACCAACGTTCTTTCTCACGTTCTAAGGCAAGACTTGAGCGATTTTTCAGCATCTTAGTTCCTTTGGCCTTTTCCTATTTCACCTTTGAATGTTTAGTCTTCATGCCTAAGATCTCGATCATTTTGGAGTATAGGAGATTTTCGGCAAAGTTTATACTAAAAGTAGTCTTTCAAAATGTATCATATTGGTAGCTATCATGTCAAGTATTTCACCACAAAGAACATTATTATACAGGTGACTATCATTCCTCCAAAAACAATCCACTTGTCCTACAGAGAAAGAGAGAGAAAAAAAGTGACTGTGGTGGACAGTAGTTTGGTTCACTACAGGATCATAGCTAAGATTTTCAATGATGGGGGGAGGGGGGGGGGTTGGCAATGGCGTGGTTATGAAATTCTGCACACATTGGGTGAAGTGACCAAAACCATTGCTCTACCTTGTGTATTAAGGAGGGGGGGGGGTTGTGGAGGGATGTGGGGGGGAGTTAAGGGGTGTGGGGAGGGGAGGCCTGTAGTCAACCCTTCAACTGGTGAGAAGGACCATCATCTTGTATATCTAGCAGAGAAAAATATATATGCAGATTTTTTTTATTTTTGCTTTTTCATCATCTAAATTAAATGTTCTGTAAGCTGTTCATGTAATGGAAAATCTCACAAGAAGGGGATGGGGGAGTGGAACAGAAAACTGTTGACTCCCCCTGCACTGAACAGCTGTTTATCATTGATAGCCTTTTCTGATTAAACCAGTCAGTCCCCTGAATGGGGTATGTTGTGTTTTACTCACAGTGATATTAAGAATAAAATACCTGTGTGGCTCTCTTGTCAATTAATCTCATAACAGTGTTGGAAAGTCCAAGAGTGCTGGCAATATCCAATATTCTCTTTTGCGCTCCCTGAAAAAAGTGGAAGAGAAGGGTTTGTTATCTTCTTAATCTTATCATACTTTACTCCAAACTTGGAATAGAGCACAAGAAACAGCCACCTATTTCATGTTTAGTTTCCCAACTTTTCACCAATCAACTACAATGACAGTGGGTATGCCGCTGAAAGGAAAGGTAAGCAACAGAAATGGGAAGGGTGCACCCAATTGTAAGCCCAAGAATAGACATGTGGGCTTTTCTGTCAATACCAGTATGTGTCTGACCTTACAAGAGTTCTCTGCATGTTTTACACACACATTTTGGTCACCTTATTGTTAAGCTGAACTGTACTAATAAAAAAATCAATGCACATGGAGTGAACATACTTTTAAAGTGACACGTTGATCTCGTAAACTTGTCAAAATACTGGAGCCACTGCTTAGTAAATCACTGATTCCTCGGTCAGCATTTTGAAGAGATGTGTTGTGCTGCAGAGCATGGTCTATCATAATCGATGTCTCCCCACTATTCTGCAAGATAAGTTTGAGTCATTTATCTTACTGTACTGAAAAAGCTAAAAGTGCAAAATTCACATTTCTATAACAACATATGTATATGTAATCACATATAGAAGCCAGGGGCAAAGGTTAAAGTTGAATGCACCACAAGGACTAAAAGACTCAGATCTTACATTCTGATGCTCTAGCACTGAGCAACAAAGAACTCACAGATAGATGGGTAGATAATTTATTTTACTTCATCTATACCAGGAATAATCTCCCAATCTCAAGCTCCTGAGCCACAAAACCTAAGGCACATGATGTAAGTGTTTTACATGCTAAAAACTGAGAACTATAAATGATAAAAACTAATGAAAAATAAAAATAAATAGCAATACAATCAAGAGATGACACAAATTTGTCTAATTAATTGGTAAGGGGAGGTAGGCCCTGTTTTAGAGAGGAACATGTGAAATAGACATGCAAAGCTTTGAGTAAAAACGATTCTCTCTGTTGATGCATACATATATATACCAATGTACCACACCTGCAAACTATTTTCACCTCAAAGAGGAAAGGAGACACAAGCCTTTTTAAAAGAAACAGGTATCCAGGCTCAAATTCTTGTACAGTTGCTATTTAGCATCATGAAACCATATGAAAATTGCCAAAAACAGGTTATGAAATTGATGGTTTTCATATGATTGCAAATTTAGTGGGCAGTTTCTTTTTTTTTTCCCATGGTGATCAAAATAGTTGCAACTTGAGGCACAACAGAAATTACTAACATTTGTAGTAAACCTTCTGTTTAAAAGCTCTTCTCTTTCTCTTTCCTCCTGTTCCTGATGAAAAAGAAAGAATGAAATAAATTAATTCTCCACCCTGTCTGTCAAATGTTTTTCTTTATTCTCATCACTTGTTGGTTTGATGTTGTATTGATATTGTAAGGAGCAATTCTGTGATGGTCACTCACGGGATTTAAAGGGTGAAATCATGAATAGTAATTATAAAAGCAATCATACCCTGAGCATTTTGCGATGCTGGTAGTTGTTAAAGCCTGTCTTTAGGTGTCTTAAATCATATGTCAATTGGTCGACTTTTCTAAGGAGAAAAAAACAATTGTCACATTTAAGGCAAATTCGAACATCTTCACTTGCCTAAAGAATCTGCTAAGACCTTCTGCATAATTTACATGAAAATCTATACATCAGAATCTTATTAGTCAACAGACACTAGAATACAGCACTTCAAAGCCAAGCTGCAATGTAACAACTGACAAATTTTGTTTCAACAATAGTTGTCGGTAGAACAGGTTGCTGTCACAGGCTAATGTCTCTGTTCAGTAGCAAAAATTTTGTTGTTTGACTTTTTTTGGCAGGTTTTCATGTTCGACACTTTGACACTGTTATTTTACCATCAAAACCCCATCATCAAACTTTTCTGCTTATCACTGAACTGATTATCATAGTAGGGTAATTTGGTGTTATCAACCGAGTTGATGAGGTAAATTGGCCATCATTAACCCTTTAACTCCCAAGATCTGATTGTCAATTCTCCCCACTCGCTGCTACATAAATCCTTGTAAATTAGTTATGAGAATTTGGTGTAAGATCACAATAACAACTTCTACCTGATAGGTTTGAATATTCTCATTACCTGTTTGCTGGATAATGTAAAGAAATTATAGAGAGAAGTTTTATGTTGATCACTTCTGAGAGTTAAAGGGTTAAGAGTTAAGAAGCTGACATTTTGAGTGTTAGCCCTTTGTCTGAGTAACTGGAGGAATTGTGGGTTGTATGTGTGTTGATATGCAGAAAATGGAGCTACACAATCAGTGGGGATATGGTGACGAGAAAACAAGAATAAATCAGTTAAATGAAAAGCACTCTCGGGAAGTCATATTAATGTAGACCATAGTATTTGTAATGGGTCTAACCGACATACTTATGAACCACTTACATTCTGGCACTCTGTTTCTTCTGAGGTGGTTCCTTGTTTATAAGGATCGCCAGACGGTCACAATTAGCAGATGCTTGCTCCAAGTTTTGTTCTATTTCTTGTTCAAGAGCTATTGTGGAAAAGAGAAGATGATTTAAGATTAAAAACTATTCCTACTAACTCTCCTTAAAGGAGTTTTTAACATAAATTCACTTTATTTTTTCTGATGCATCTCTTCAATCCTCCAATGCATCAGCAAGCACACACTGGTAACTGGTCCAGCTTTTTTAGATTGGAGCCTGGTCCAAAATCTTTTGCATGCCATTCATAGCAAACTAGAAAATGGCAAACTGGCAGAAAACAATAAATAACTTGTTTACTGGCCTACATCAATCCTTACAGGAAATAACTGGTCAGAAAAGTAAGAAATAAGTTTTTTACCAGTTTAAGTATGTCCACATAGGAAAAAAACTGTGCTCTGGTCTTGAGTTCTATTTTTTTATCATTTAGCTCCTCGCCTGGTAAATAATTATATAAAGGTATCCTTGTAATCATATTCTGTGCTTTTTGTGAATCTTAAGGTACATTAAGTCAAAGATTGCCAGGTGATGATTATAACAAAAAACCATATTTTGTTAAAGCTGTATGAATCCATAAGCAGCAATTCCTTTTTTTACCAGGGATACTTCAATCAAGTATCATACATCAGCTCGTTTTCACGACAAACTGCTCATGGCTTGTCTGTGAGCATGAGACAGCTGGTAGGATAAACATGACGCAATGATGACCCTTTCTTCCAAATTAATGTTTACGCTCACCGTTCAGCGAATCAGGATGTGCAGAACTCAGTTTGCTGAGCAAACCCTGAACTCCTACGATGAGCCTTTTATAGGGAGAAAAAGAACATATCGTAACTTTAAATTTATCTAAACTCAAATTAAATTTGAATGTAGCCTGGGTAGATCCTATCCTTCGTGATCAGGACGGGTAAAATATCCATGCGAAGCATAAAAGTAAAAGAGGGAAAAGTGATGCTTTTGGATGGTAAGAATACCATGGGGATCGCAACAGAAATGGGATGAAAATCAAGCTTCATTAATATTGGGTTGTCATAACAGAGCAGGGGACTCAACATTCGGGAAGTCTTCGAAGGGCTATAAACGCAAACAGAAAAACTTACCGATTGGTCTCTTGATAAAGATTGTCCATTGTATATTATTTCTTTTCAATTTGATCGCGATGAAAGCAATCAAGAAAATGAAGAGCGCAAGGCACCTATTTTAAAAGGTCTTTAAAAAAAACTATCCAAACTAAACCGCCATCTTGTTTTCGTAACTTCTTCCGCTGACACACGACACGTCATGTCTCTATCCAATCTCCCACGGACTTTTTGGGTTGGTCCAGCAATTATTTTTGGTATCTACTTCTAAGCGTTTTTCAAATCAATTCAGTCGCTCTGTCAGAGAGTCTGTCAGTCTATCAGTTGCTCAGTCCGTTAGGCAGTGAATCACTCCATCAGTCAGTCATCAGTTCAGTCATTCTTTCAGTCAATGGTACAGCCACAATCAACCAGTCATTGACAAGGGCATTGGGACCTATTAGAAACCGCAAAACCGTAGAAAAAAATCATCCACAACCGAAAAAAAATCAGATCAAAACTGGACACAGCATGCAAAACTGTCTCAACCGATACATTTTCACATCCCGGTTATCAGAGCCCTGATCGATCCGACACAGTGGTGACAAGTGGAGCATACAGAGTAAACTGCACTAATTTCATTACAGTACTTGTGAATGCTATGGAATTGGCATTTGTATCTTCTAGTATCTGCTTAAATTACAGGCTTTATTTGACCTCGAGTATGGTTTTTGCGAACTTAGTAGCTGGTAATAGAGCCTAGTTAAATTAAGGAAATTCGCTCAAAAGTCCTCTATAGGATTGCAATTTTGCAGTTGTAAAAAGCTACAGCTCTGGAAAGTTTCATCGAAAATCCTTAATCTAACATTTCCATTTGCGAACTAAGACCTGAAAGTCTGGAGATTCTATTGAAAAGTTGAATCAATCAGTCACGTGTGGCCTGTAACTTGGTCACCAACTTCGAGTTGGCTTTGATAAAGTAACTCTGGCAATGTTCCGTGCTGAGCCGTACCCCCCCCCCCACCATGGGGGAGGGTACGGCTACATAAGCTGCCTAGGGATCCCTGCGATTTTTCAATTGGTTTGTCACGCATTCGTCTCAATATCATTTGCGTTTAGCTGCTATTCGGGATCAGTGGAGGCGCGTAATTGCCGCTCAGATCGAAGAGAAACTGGAACCCAAATAGGTCAAATAGGAAAAACCGAAAACCACATCTGTTATCAAATCCGAAAACCCGTTGGTATTTTTCGCGAAAAGCGAAAACCAGATGCTGAAAAACGGAAAATCCGCAAACTGCAATGAACACCAAAACCGAGAAACCGAAGTTTTTTGGCACAAAAACCGCAAACCCGATCTAAAAAATAGCCAAAACCGCAAAACCGAAAATCCCAATGCCCTTCTCGTCATTCAGTCAATCAAACGCTGTCTTTGCGACTCCGAATGCCATTTTACGTTCAGATATAGGAATGCACTGCTGAAATACAGCGCCATTTTTTTTTTTTAACAACATGCATGGCAAGAATCTAAAACCGACCAAACCCAAGCGAACCTCGATCTTTGTTTCGTATCGAGTTTGTAGTTTGGTTTCTGTAATGAATTATGTTTCTGGCCTCAGTTCGCGTGAGGAATGGGTATTTTTAAGAGAAAGGTATCCTCCCCCCGCTCCGGATTTTCCCGCCCCCATAAAAAAAAAGAAAGAAATTTATCAATTCACGTGATTTACTAGTGGCATTTATTTCATAGTTGACGTTATGCATATTCTGTAAAAGAACTACACGTTTCTAAGATTGAACATGTGTTACTGTTGAAACAATTTCAATTCTTTAACCATTTAAACATGTCTCTTGACCTCCAAAGGAAAGACGAATAAAGTGTACTTCGCCCTTTCTTAGTCGAAAACACCTTTGCAGAGAAAGCGCTTTCTGCTCAATCTAATCATATAATTTACGTTCTTCAAATCTTAACAGTCAGTGTTCTTTGATAACAAATTAACTCATCATTTGCGTTTTCTTTTTCCATATCTATAGGCTCTTAACAGCGCGATAAGAAATAAAAGCATAAATTTTAACTTTATGACTGGGAAATGAGAAAAATCTATCTTTTCACTAACTTTTTGTGAAGAGTGATTTAAAAACTTTGTAAGGACCATTTCTGTGAGCAGAAACTGAGACAACAAAAGCAATATTAGGAATGAGGGGTATAGTTCGTTTTCTTCATCTCAGCATTTTCTATCTGACAGAAAGTGTAGATGATCAATTACTTGGTCTTTTTTTCAAGCCAAACGAATATTTTGTGGTTTTCCATCAAGTTAAAATATTAAATTTGGCCGTCGCATGCACAAAAATTTATATTGACTTTGAGACAAAAAAAATGGCCTTAATTTTAACTATCGTTTGTGCTCAAATCTAATGCGCTTTAAATCTTAACATAAAAGTTACAGAAAAGCGGTTAAAAGGTTTTTTCGCATAAAATTCCCAGTCAGTTAACGCTAATTTTTATATTTAGTGTTTGCTTGTCTACGAAAGTCGTCGTATGAATCGTTGCCTCTGTTTTGCCATCAGTGAGTTTCTTACATTCGACGAAACACTCCTACTTGGGCACCGCAAGAGGGACAAATGTGTATCACATCTTTCATGGGATCACAACAAAATGGGATCAAACAGCAACCAAGATCACATCTGCAATATAAATAAAATAGGGTCAGTCTTGAAAAAGAATTCTCGTCTATCCCGTCTGAGATGAACTTTCAACGTTCAGTGTTTTGCGAAAAAAATAAGTTGTATTTTTTGATTAAACGAGGTGAGAAAATTCACTAAATTATTTGACGAATGTTTATTTTTTACGACAAACACGCATCACGCTTTTAATCTGACGCTTTTGTGAAATTAATAAGACTTGATATCAAATAAGAGTGACACAGTTTTATCCATTCATATAACCGGGTCGATAGAATAAAAGTCGGTTTAAATATTATCGCAAACGAAAGGAACAAGGGCCAAAACCGACTAATGATCGGAAAAAGGCTTTGAAGCGCACGGAAAAACGAATGAATAATCGGGAAAGACGGAGAGACGAACGAACAAGATTGGAAAATTTATATTCTGAAAATACCACCGCTAACGGAACGGGAGTGAAAGTTTATTATAGACAAAACTAAAATAAAGTGAGAATTTGAAGGAACATATGCAGAATTATTTCAAGTGTTTAAAAACTTGACGTTTTCCCGTGTGTGTATAATACTTTTTTACTTATGGTATCTTCGTTATCAACGGTATATTGTGTAACCTCAAAGATTGCATTTCGACTGAGTCTCGTAAAACCAAAATCAATGAAAACAAAACGGCCATTGAGACAAAAGGAAAATACTTCAAGAGCCAGATGAGAAATAATTTCAATAATGAGCAAACTGTCTGCAGCGTGGGAAAACACGAGTGTCCAAGTCGAGTTTAATTTTGTTCTTAGACCTGACTGGTTGAGGAAATTTGACACTTACTCTGAGTCCATCAGGGAAGAACGTCACGCAAACTTGCTAAATTCCAGATTGCTTTCGAACTGTTGAAAATTGTCCTTTTAATCACTTTCGCGTGAGTTCTAAAACTTTAATAATATTTTATTCTATTTTCTTAAATTGTGAGTGATTTTCTATTCATTTATTTACTTCCAGCGGCGGTTTTTGTGTCGGTCTTGTGGAAAACAATCGGAAAAGACTTCCATCGGTCCAAAGCACTCTATAATCGTTCGTCAAAAAGGTTCGCGGGTCAATAACTTTGCTGTTGATTTTTTTGATTGTTTGAAAATTGCTTAGTACTATCAATACTTTTGGACCAGTCTTTGTAATTCAAAACTCGCCTTGCCAATGTAATTAACCACCAGAGACTTTATTAAATTCGTTGAGATTCGCGTTTCGACGTTTTGACAATCTGATAGCTAAGTTCTCTGACAGAGAAATGCGATATTTACGGGCAGTCAAGTCAGAAACACGTCAAAATGAATAAAGCCTATGTGCAACTTGTATTCTTAATACGCATCCGACAGGTCGCGACATTGATTCTAGCGACTACAACCTTAAATTAACTTCAGACCATTAAATATTAAAACTTTTAAGCTGATATAAATGCAAACTATTTAGGCAGCTTTATCACCAGTGTATAAATTTCAATAATGAGAAATCTGGTTTGTTTAATTTATCTAGCATTCGGATTATTTCGTCAAATTTTCTAAACTTTGGCTGATGAATGATGAATGGATATTATTTTGGATATTTTTTACGAAGTAAAAATATATAAAATCAGTCTGAAAACTCTAACGATTTCGAGAACGAGTGAAATTCTGAAAAAAAACGTGTTTAATCACAATGCAACACAGCCAAGAGTTCAAAATTTATGAGAATTCAATTCCATTCCTCGTCCATTTAACATTTGTAGAGGAAGACCGCTTGTTAGTTTAAAAGATTCTGAGAAAATTGCGATTGGGATCGTTTAAATCCGTTCCTGTGAAATTGATACAGTCATAATAATGGTCTGTAAATTCATGTCCGTGCATGTAAAACCGCAATGTTTTAAAAACCTTTGCACAAAGTGAAACGTTCAAAATTGTGTTATTTGTTCCACACAAATCGCTTTTAATTATTTATTAATATTTCGAAAGTGGGATAGGTTAGCGAAAGGAAACGAAAGAAAGGTGTTTAGTTCTCACTTACCCAACAACACACAATCCGAGGCAGGCAAGCCAAGTTAAAGTTCCCGTCACATAGGTCGTCGCTGTTACAATGCTCTGTTTGCAGGCAGGACATGACATTGCCACCGGTGACTCGCCGAAGCCGATCGCAGAAATTGCAACAGCCGTCGGTTGCTGATGAATAATGGTGGTCGTTGTTGCTGTGCCAGGGTAGCCGGGTTGAGCTGCATAACCTGGGTAGCCGGGAGGAGCGGGCGGCGGATACGCTGGCTGCGTAGGGCCTCCATAGGCTGGAGGAGGGTACTCTGCTCCCGGCGGAGGTTGCTGTTGCGGGTACGGCGAAGGTTTATTATCAGCCATGTTGTTTCGCTGTTATTGTTACGCGATGAAGCATTAAGAAAACTCGTGATGTTTTGAGAGGCTTTCTAGTGACGTAGATCCTTGTTGCCAAGGATGTGCAGAATGTTTGATTATACTACAATGATACGACATTTGCACCTGCAAAATCCCAAATTAAAAAAAGAAGTGGTCTACTGTAAAAGACCGGTATAATTTCAAAATTCTTTTTTTTTCGGTCATTGTTTTGAAATCTTTACAAAACTTCCTGTTAAACACCAGCAAAATAAACCTGTATAAAGAGACAGAAGCCCTATTTTCGCTCAAGCCGGTGAAACGTGTCTTTAATTATTCACATCAATCATCTTTGTATAACCGACCTGCGAAAAATGACAAGCATATTATCATTTCGCTGGACAAGTGCAAAATTTGTGATTCATCACTGAAATCACAATAAACGTGGGAAGGAACGTCAAAAAAAAAAAAAAAAAAAAGTGAATCAACGCTAATTTTAGCAGTTTCAGAGGAAATTCGGAAATTAACGTAATATATCGCAACACGATCGGGCTTGCAACGGAAAATACAAAAGGCTCTCAGCTGGAGGAAATGTACGCTGTGTGTGTTTATCGCACAAGATGCATTGGTGAAATTAGACCACAACTTTGTTCTTTATCTATCGTCTTGATAAAAGACGAATTCATATCGGCTATGTCAGTCAAACTTATTCAAAACTCTCTAACGTATTTCTGCATATTTATCGTTAAAACCTGTCATCCTTTTTAAAATACATCAATTACTTAAATGACGTCATGATCAATTTTTACTCATGCAACCAAACATATTGTATATCAAGAGAAATAAACCGAGCTGAAGAAATTGAACTTCGAATTCCAGAGTTAAATAAATTTAATTAATATTCATGAAGAAACAGATGGATAAAATTTAAGCAAAATCAGTGGTCATAATTTTTTTATTTTTTTTATTTTTTTGGTGTTTAGTCTTAATAGTGTTTAACATCCCTCGCGGTATTTATACCCAGCAGAGTGTCATGAATATAATTGACTCGCTTTGGTGAAATGCTAACAAGTTTGTCACCAGATGCTCTGTTTGTTAACAGATGTACGATGGTAAAACCTTAAAAGGGTCTGTGCTAGCTTGAAATTGAAAACTGATGGGCCTGTCTGTCGGATACGTTTTCAAGAGTGTTCTCCAGTCTTGCGATGATTGCGTTCGACGTATGAAGACGCATTCTGTTCATTTCGTTATTCAGTCCTGCAAATTTTTTGATATCCTTTGGGTCTCGGTCCGAAGTCAGACCATTTCAGCTTTTCGACGCCATCTTGGACTGATTGACACACTTGGCCTCGATCTCATGCGGTTACCCAGACTCTCTTCGGTTTGGATGCCGCGGGAAGTGCAACCATTTGATCAAACGACATACGATGTTGGTAGGCCTAGTTATACAACGGATTTCATTACGCAGAGAAAAAAGTATCCATTCCTAAGCTTCATCAAACGCTCTTTGCTAATCCGGCCATGATTATACTTGGAGTGAAGTTTATGCAGGGTTTGTATGATCTGACAAGAGTGTTTTTACTAATCACAGAAATATCTTCGTGTACACACACGAGTCACACAACACTCCTAAACAAATATGAAGGTGAATTTGGAATATTCTGAAAGTTTTGGAATAATCAGGCAAATAATAAAGGATGTAGAAGCAAAACAAACTGCAAAGCTGAGTAAATTGCCGAGCCTTCAGTCCTTCCACGGAAATTTTATTCCATAGCTCATCTGGTACCCAGATCCTCAGCGCGCGATTGAAATACAGCTTGAACGTGGGCTGAGTGTAGAAGCAAAGCTTTTCTAGACCCGGAGAAGCTTTTTTTTCTTTGGTCGCTTGTTAGTCTTTTTCGGGGGAGGAGGGGGAGGGGAGGAAGGAAAGACTGGTTTAAACACGGCGATGACTAACATTGAAAGACCTTTCACTTACGGAGAACCTTCACCGTAAAGTAGTTTGTGCTCTATAAAATAACCCATGTCATTCGTAAACATCGTCCATAGAAAGGAGGCATTTATTAACATCCTCTTTCGATTTATTTGGCCCTAACATTTAACTTAATAGACAACACATTAGTAAGACAAATTGTTAAACGATAAAAATAGAACTATATTTAATCTGAAATATTGTAAGGGTTTCCATATATGGGTGTGGGGAAAAAGAATGAAAATATTATATTACTTTGAGCCATTCGATACAAAAATTATAATAAGACAGGTTGATTATTTCTTATTGCTTTTGTCGATCTCATCTAAGTACAATTTCTTTCACCTTTTTCTTATTGCGGTTGTGAATTTGGTACGAAAACAGTTGCTCCGTTTCTACGGTGATCGGTGATTAGTTGTACTATTTTGCGATAAGCTATGTTTTTAATTATGTCAATTTTCTAGTTGTAAATCTTTCTGGTAAAAGTTAACCTCGCACAGGAATTCCTGGAAACTCCTGCTTCTTATATTATTGATTACTATCAGACTGGTTTTTTTTGGTCAAATTCTAAAGTCAAATTCACGATTCCAGAATATTTCTTGAATTTTAAGTTAACACCTTCAACACCTCTTTTTTAAAAAAAGGTGACTATGATTGTAAATAGCTTATGCTTTTTCATCTCCGCACTGAATTTATAATTATTTAACTTATGCGAATAACACATAGTTTTCTTTAGGGCGGTACCTTAAGTACGCCCCTTCTTCTCCGAATTTTCTGTTTACTCTGTTGTTATATAACAATCTTCTAAGGCTATTTTCTCGTAAACTATCTTTTCAAGCGTAATTTCAATTCTGCCAATAGGTTAATTATAATTTTTATATTATCAATCTTGTCTTCGTTCTGGCCGATCTCAACCGTAAAATTAAGAAATTTAAGGTAGAAGACGATCTTGCGATTGCGTAAAAAATTCGAAGGTGCATACTTAGTATACAGGAACTGTCATACGTACTCTAACGTGATTCGCTGGCTGAAACGGAGCGATCGCGGTGTAAGAAGATTGACAGTTTAGAAGTGTCATCTTTGGTGTCACCTTTATAAGCTGGTGCACAGCATCTTTCAATCAGGGAATATAGCAAAGTAGAACAGTGTGGACTTATGTCCAAAGAAATGGGTAATAAAGAAAATTCAACCGAGTGTTAGAGAGAAATTCTTCTAACAATATTCAATAGTATGTCTGGTGCGTTTACTATTTATCTCTCGAGCCAGTTTCCTTCCACTTCAGGAAACTGCTATTTTTCTTCTCTGGTCACAGAGTGAAAGATACTCTTCGACTTACGTTTTCACCCTTTACACCCTAACGTCAGTAAGCATATTCTCCATACTGTTCTTTAGACATCTCCTCAGGTGTTGACAGGGAGAATCTGATTACCAATCAAAAGCTTCTTTAGTAGGTGATCATTTCTTTTATTCTTGTGACCCTGATGAGTAATTCAGGGGGTGATAATGTAAGGAGAACTTATATACTAATCACTCTCAAGGGTTAAAGGGTTAAAGCAATTGTCCGGGATTGCACAAGTTTTACTTTAATCCGCTCTGTGATTGGTCCACAAAACTTGCACCACTTTCTTAACCAATCAAACTAACGCAAAACCAAAAGCAATCACGACTTGGTCGCCCGCGTTTTCCCGCGCTTTAGGCAGCTTGGCTGTATTTACTTTGAGTTCTCATTCGCTCTTCCTTTCTCTTGATTGGCTCTTGCGTCAATAGAAAAGCGCTCTGACGCAAATTAAGCCAACTACCCTCTCATACACTCATCTCAATTTATGGCTGATATTGTTGTGCTTTGAGGTCGGCGGTAACTGTCGACAAAATTGGGCCCCTTCCAAAAAATTACGTCCTACACGTGCTACTTTAAAAGAAACCGCGAAAAACAATGTATCACTGAGAAGCTTATTAACAATAGATTCTGAAAAGATTAGACTTTTTAATACTATTTGTTTTGGTAGGCACGTGTAAGCCTTTCCAGGCGTACCTTACGTTCTTTTAAAGATTTTGTAAAAATTTTTTCGAATAAAAAGAATTCTAAAAAAAGTGTGAACACTTTGACCAGATTTTTTTGACAGTAACCTTTAAAAGAAACCTTCTTCACCCAAAGGCTGAATTCCTCGCGTGGTTAACAGCTTCTAGAATGAAATACCTAACAAGACCACATGAAACTCCATATCTCCCAAATCTGATCAACATCTGAATTCTCCTTACAAAATCTATACTATATCCAGCAAATGTGTGAAGAGAATACACAAACTGATCAGCTAGAGGATATAAAGTTCACAGAACACCAAATTCTCGTCATTATTTCAAAAAGAAATAAATGGCCCTTAAAAGTGAGAATTACAAATCAGGTATGGGTAGGTAAGTGTTGCACTGTCTAACGTCTCTTAATAACAAATTTTATTCGTTTCTTTCGACCATAGACTACAAGTTACATTCCAAAGGCGGTCGTTTCTCATCTTCTTTAAAAGGATATGTGCCATCGATTTCATATAACATCCCTAGAGTCGAGGTCAGAGAGCATCCACAACGCGGAGATTGAAAATTGCGAACGCCACGAGGGATAGTGTGCGACTTCCGTATATTATAACTGATCAATTGATCATGTAGTCCTTGTTGCAAAAAGCACAGTTTCCTAAATACAGTGTCAATAACACGTCCCAACACATTATCACAATTAACGAGATCAAGTCTTCTCTCGTGACTAATCTTCACAGCAAGTTTACATAACTTATCTATCGCGAATTTTGATGTTCGTTAGCCACCAGCATTGTCTTGTGGCGAGACATTCAAAAAACTTCCATCATTTCTTCTGATGAAAACTGCACAAAAGGATCATCTTTCAATAGCTCAGCGGCAGTGGGACGAATTTCTTGTTTTCTACAACAACAACAAAATGTAAATTAAACGTAAAGCTACTCTACATCGTACCTCGAATCGAGTTAAAATGCAATCCTGTTGGTCAGAAGAACGTTCAAATTAATTTCATGGTGAAAATGATGACGATAATTACAATAATGACGATAGTGATAGTAACAATGATCATGATAATAATTACGACAAAGGTAACGATGATGAAATGATAATAATAATAATAATAGTTATAATGATACTGATAATAATTTATAACAAAGGTAACGATAATAAAATGATGATAATAATAATAAAAAAGATGATACTGATAACAATTATAACAAAGGTAACGATGATAAAATGATGATAATGATAATAATCATAATGATGATGATGATGATGATGATAATGATAATGACGATGATGATGATAATGATGATGATGATGATAATAATAAAAGATGATAATGATAATAATCATGACCCAGGGTAACAATACAGAAATGATAATAAAAAACAATAATGACGACGAGAATGTTAATATCAAAACGATAGCCAAATAGATAAATACATAATTAAAAACTATTTTGCCACTCCTCGTGGGTTTCTTGAGCAACAGATCACATTTTCTACCATTTTACCGTTATAATGACCACGAAAAAACGAGAAAAGCCTTTACACGAGAACACGCGAAAAGTTTATAAATCACTCATTTCCGGCTCGTGACTTACAAACGTTTCGAGCATCCTCCCGACATCTTAAGTGGGTATGATGCCAGTGCACCGATAAAAAGTGCTCTCTACTGCTTTTATTTAAAAAAAAACTTAAATGCCTCAATATTATATGGTTTTACCAGTGCAACAACCATGGGATTTTGACCAATCAGGGCGCTCGTAATATCTCGGTGATTTCAAAATAAGCTGGTGAACCAACAGAGAGATGTGGTGCAGGGGTTAAACAAAATTATTTAAAGAGAGACCATATACCTGAGGCATTTCTCAATAAATCCAAAAGCAATGGATGTACAGTCCTTCGGTGGCTCAACTTCGTGGTTGACAATCTTAAACATTTTTGCTTGCATCAATAAGTGTTCATTGAACATGGGCGGTTTGGTTGTCAACATCTCGACTACAGTGCAACCCACACTCCTTAAAAAATGATGTGATAATTCAATTAATATATACAAGAAGAAATTTCAGCGTACTCACTGGCTGAGAGCCAATCAATTAATCCTATATAGTGCAAAAAATTTGAAAATAAGTGATAACAGAAATTTATACTACTAAAAAGCAATACCTTTATTTCAAGATAACATTAATCCTTTTTCAGCTTCTTTTTGCCTTTCTGAAAATATTTCTATTTAATTACTGAACCGTTTGCACAGAAAATATTTTGGACTTTTGCCTCTGCTGTTGTCAAAGCTCCATCATACATCATACACGATCTATTAACGAACAGGCGAACGGCAACATGGAATATATTTGTTAAATGATGGTAGATTTGCGAGCTCTTTCAAGAAAATAGTTCACTAAAATTTCCAAGGAAAAAAAACCGATACACCATTTAACTGAAATCCATATCTTTCAAAAAGTATCAGAACTAATACCAAATATCAGTTTTCCTTCCATAGGATTGGCCAGAGAGCATTTCCGGGCTTGTCCAATGAAAAGAAGCCACGTTTCCTTGAGTCACTCTTCCACCGGTGACGGTTTTCAGTGCCTGTACATTCATGACATTAACTTGTATGTGAGGATAACCTTAAATTGAGTGTCTTAGTTCCCGTATCTCTATTAGCTACCCCTCTCTATAAGTACGAAACTCCTTCTTAACCCTCATCTAAACCATCAGGATTGGAAGAATCTCTCCTTTTTTTCTCACCAGTATCCATATTTATGAAATTTTCAACTCTGGATGTAGCACTTCTAGTATTCTGATTCGTTCACTCAACTCCGGTTATCAGCTCATATTCCGAGTCACCTTCGATGGAAATGCATTGCGCCAACTGTTGGGGAGCTGAAAAAAGGCTCCAATATCCACACGTTCAGGATTTGATGAGATTTAATAACACAATTATTCAATTCTTACTTGTTGGATATGAGATTGGTCATAGCCAACATAGCGCGGCGCGTCTCGTTGGCCATTTACCATCTCATATCCAACGCGCACTCATGAAATAAATGTTAAATATTCCTGGGTGGAGAGAGGCACCGTTACTTAACCAAGCACATATTGTAATGACTCAGCCAGATCTCAGTCTCTTAAGCTGGTGTCCACCACCCTAACCAGTAGACCACCCGATATCTTGGAGCGAGGAAAGATTTTAAACTGCAAACATAACCTCTAAAGACTCTACTTTCAAATTTAATCAATCAATAACAAACCAACCAACAAAATGAGGATCAAACAACAATGGAAGGAACAGAATATTTGCTTACTGTCATGACTTTTGAGATTCCAAAATCAGCAAGTTTTATGTTCTGTTGTTGCCCATCTAGCAGAACATTTGCACCTAAAATAATAGAAATAATAATGATGAGTAATGGTAATAGGACTAAGTGGAGTCCGATTCGGCCAGTAATCAATACCAGTGATTAACAAAATCGGACTAGTGCGAGGTGTTGGTCCGATTTGTTAATTAGGAGTATGATTACAAACAGGATTGGACGACACGAAGTCCTGTTACCAATTACTTTTAACTATTAGAATTTCCGAAAAGAAAACAAACCATGCAAATAAGTCAAAATTGACAATGGGAAATACCTTCCATAACGACATTAACTTTTTAAAAAAATTTCTCAGTTTGTAGGGTAATTGGTTGTTGCTATGGTTATTGCAATCAATTCTGTGATTGGTCGGTTTAGCTGAGTGGTCTTCATATAATTGGTTGCTTAACTGTCTTAATACAGGATATTGGATTACAGCCAGTTGTTCGATTACAACTCCACAGAATAATAATATTACAGAACCAGAAAAATAAAGCAGGAACTGAACCAATCACAGTTGAGGAATTTGTAATAGTTATGATTATAATAGTAGTAGTAGAAACAATAGTAATTATGACAATTGCAATAATAGCAATGACAAAAATGACGTAAAAATAAAGATATTTACAGTAAAACCAATAATAATATAATAATAATAGTGATGACAAAATTGACATTTTGGGCATCCATAGAAACCTTTTTAAAAGGGGAAGGGGGATAGACTGGATCAATATCAGTATCTGGGCAACTGCCCACCTACCCCTCCCCTAGCCTAACAACAGTCAATTGATAACAAGTTAGGGTTAATGTTGGGTTAGGGGAGGGATAGGTGAGCAGTTGCCCAGATACTGATATTGATCCGATAGACTTAACACTTTGACCCCTAAGAGTGACCAGCATCTGCTTTCTCCTTACAATAACACCCCTGAATCATACATTAAGGTCAGGAGAATAAAGAAAATGATCACCAACTAAAGGAGTTCTTTGTTGTTAAACAAACTCTCCTTGTCAGCACCTTAAGAATTAATGTATGAAGACCAGTCTGGAGAATATACACATTGATGTTAAGGTTTAAAGGGTAAAATAACCAATTTTAACTCAAGAGGGAATAAGAATGGCTGAGGATGGGAAAGATTAACAGAGATTATCAAGAGTAAACTTGAAGTTTTTACTGTAAGCTAAATTATTTCTAGCATAGCTTCTCTCAAAATAACCTTTGATGTCCTTGTGAATAATTCCCTTGCCGTGGAGGAATTCAACCCCAATAAGCATTTGCCAGGTAAACTTTCTGACAAGCAGCTCTTCCAAGGGTCCTTTCTGTCTTAACATGTCCTCCACAGAACCCTGCAAAAAGAGAGGCAATTAACATTATGGCTTGACAGTGTTTAAACTGGTGCCTCCCAGAGACTAGTAAATAAATCTTTTCCTGACTAATTCAAGACACTATCCCACAAAAAAGGGTAAGAGGAACTTATCGGAGCCAGAGCAATATTTTTGCAGTGCTACAGTGACAAATTCCCACTCTATACACAGTGTAACTTTTAATAATAACCTGAATTTATGCCTTTTCTGATTTGTCACTGTCTAAAGTCTATCAGAGTACAGAAGCACAGCAACATCATAAGAATATTGTCCACATAGATCTCAACTAGCAAAATGAAATCACCAGCCTCCCAAATCAAATGTTTCATACAATGACTTGTCTGGATTAGATCTTCGCTCTATAGTTCAGTCAAAGTTACCTGACTGGGTGCACTCAATTGCAGAGCCGTTTACATCCAAAAAGCATAAATTGCCATTAATCAAGGCAAATATATCTTCATTCTTCTCCTTCCAGGAAAGCACAGATGGCTTCGATCATTAACTATGAGCAATTAATTGTGGTTATCATGAACCTGAGTGTCCACAACACTATTGGGCCTTGACACTCATTGCTGATGCTATTCAAGTGTCAACATTTTAGCAATCTATTGACCTTAGTAAGATTTTAATACCAATTTATCATCTGTCTTAACCCTCTTCACTCTAACATAAGAATGCATATTCTCCATACTGTTTACTATACATTCTCAAAGGTGTTGATAAGGTGAATTTGCTTAACAATCGAGAGCTTCTTAAGTGGTGATCATTTCCTTTATTCTTGGGACCTTATGTGGGATTCTGGGGATGTTATTGTAAGGAGAAATTAGATGCTTGTCACTCGGGGTCAAAAAGTGAGGAAATTTGTCAAACTATGAAGGCGTTTAACTGAGATCATTAATTAAAAATAATTGGAGGGCTCAGAGCAAGAACGATCCCTTGATTTTTCGGCCATTTTTGAAAGTGTCCACATGCCAAAATTCAACTACTTCTGAACACTTTCAAAAATGGCCGAAAAATCAAGGGAACGTTCTTGCTCTGAGCCCTCCAATTAGCTCCCAATCAACTTGATGTTCATCTCCTCCACTGATTTTAATCCTTAAACTTACTGAGTGGACAGCATCTAATTTCTCCATTCATTAAGGCCAGGAGAATAAAGAAAATGATCGCCAACCTAAAATGCTCTGATAGTAAAACAAATTCTCCCTGTCAGTACCAAAGTAATGTAGAGAGAGGAGTATGGAGAATATTGATCCTGATGTTGAGATTAAACCTCACCCCTTCCATGTACTCCAGAAACAACAACATAGTGTTTTGCTTCTCCTCTGCATAGAGGAACTGCACAATGTACTTGTGCTTTACATCTGAAAGAACTGTTACTTCATTTTCAACTGCCCTTCTTTGCTAAAATTTACAAGAACAACAACAGCAACAAATTAATGATGAAACAGGAAATTACCTAGAGGCAGCTTACATGAGCATTTAACATGACATAACCTGGACAAAGGTGTGGAGAAGCATACCAATTGACATGAAAAAAATAAGAGTTTTACCAATTTCTAAAGCAGGAATAACAACCTTAACAAAATATTTTTTGAATATTTAGTTTCAAAATGACACATTTTACCAAATATATTTTATTTGGATTGTAGCTGTACACATTAGTTGCTGGCATTTCCACTGGGGTAGAAGCTTCAACTTGCAACACTGACACTGTTACAGTTGACAAACATTTTTCCACTTCAAGCCAAGAAATAATCCCTACAGGCGAGCTGAAAAGAAGCCAGCAAAAATTCAGGATTCCACAAGATTTGGTCCCACAACTTCCAGATGCTAATTGGGCATCATGACCAGCTGAACCACAAAAACATAAGTTGGAATAGTGGCAAATTTTAGAGGGTTCTTTGTCTCAGTACAGGAATCTGATCCCAGTTAAATGAAGTGCAAAAATCCTATTATTATTTAATTAACAAACAGTTGATAAAAATTTGCATACTATGCACCTTTTGAGTTTCCTCATGGTTTATTCCAAGATCACACATTTTAACTGCCATTTTTTTCCCAGTCTTTTTGCACTGACAGAGGTAAACCTAAACATCAATGTAAATGTTCAACAAACAGAGGTCAGGGCATTTTTTTAATGTCTTTACCAAAAGCTAACCCATGGTAAACATCTAGCAATCCAAAACTACTCAACAAAACTAATGTGTTGGAAAAGTATCAAAAATCATTTTGTTTGACTCATGACTAACATGGTTCAAACAAGTGAATAAAGGAGGTAAGCTCCTGAAGAAACTGTTGTGCTGCATCCATGTGGGAGTATAACACGGTAATTCTAGTCTTACCCACCCAGTTGATAACTGTAAATTGGCCACTGTAGAGCATTGAAAGCTGATATTTCAAGGGTTAACCCTTCTTCAGAGCCCTTTGTCGCTCTGATGAAAGGCTAACACTTGAAACTTCAGCTTTGAAACCCTTGATGGTGGCCAATTAACATAATCAACTCTGTTGATAAAACCAAAATGATCAGGGTTTAAACAAGGTTTGAGTTACAATTTGGCCACAGGGGAACAGTTTCTCCCCTTGCTAAAATGACAAGGAATCATTTTTTAAAATTATTATTACCAAGGTCCCTCTGGATAACAGCCATGTAGCTGCATGGGCCACCCTGGCTAAATAAAGTTTTATCTTATCTTACCTTATTTTAGGAAGGGGGAGGGGAGGGCAAGTGTTGTATATCAAGTGTCCACCAACAATACATTTAATCATGGATGCAAATGAAAAATCTGTACCTTAGCAAAACCGCCAGATCCTATCATTTCAATAGGCTCATACTTTGCAGGATCCAAAAAATTACCCATAGAGGAAACCTGTACTTTGAGATCAGCAACGGCTGGGATGCCTGTACTGATGCTTCCATTAGGAGGATGATCTATGGCATCCAGTCCAGCAGACCCTGCTGATGCAGAGTGCTCCTGAACCTGTCTTGCAGTTGAACCAGGAGGTCCCTGTGTTACAGCATCTGGTGAAAGTGGAGATTGAAGAGAGGGATTTTCCATGCTGGATTGAGAGACTTGTACAGGATAACCAAGGGATGGGTCAGCCAGTGATGAATCAGTCTGTAGCCTCTGATTTGATGTATCATTAAAAGGGGGAGGATTACTGAACCCTGGGGCAGCTGTTGGTTCTTGGGGTACTTCATTGCCAACATTTGAAGTCACTGAGGTTCTGTGAGATGCACTCTCAGATGGGACAGCTGGAGGTAAAGGCTGAAAAGAGGGATTCACCATTGTGCTTGGAGGAAGTGGCCCAGGAGAGGAAACAGATCGGTCTACGCTAGGTTGAGAGATTTGTGCAGGATAAGGAATAGATGGATTGACAACAATTGAGTCACTCTGTGATCTTTGATTTCTTGTAACAGATGGAACTGCTGAGGTTGAAGAGTGAGGAGGGGGATTTTGCCCAGTGCCTGAATGAAGTGGCCTGTAATAGGGAAGGTTTGGGTCGGCATATGAACCCCCTTGATATGGTGGAGCAACCCTTTGCGAGGGCAGACCAGTCAGGTTAGGATGACCAGGAATGGCCTGCATTGCTAAGGGGGTTGGAGCTGTTTCATTATCCTGTGCAGAGAGGGTAGGTTGTTGCCGAATTGATGAATCCTGTCCACCTACAGGGGCCTGCTGAGTGGAGAGAGGTAGAGAAACTTGACTGGGTTGATCCCAACCACCCATAGTAGATGGATCTAAACCACTTGAGGTGACTGGTGGGGCAGAGAAAGGTGGAAAGCTTTGATTTGGTTGAGTCCAACCAGGTTGGTAGGATGGTACTGGTCTCAGACTACTATATTCTGTTTGCTCTCCAGGGACACGTTGTGGAGGATAATTTGGCAAGACATGGCCCATGTCATTTAAGTTTGGAAAAGGCCTCTGTTCTGCTGTGAAGGAAAATTATTGATTTTAACAATCAAGTATGCTTGCCATATTGCCCAAAGCAAAGTGACCTTGAATATAAAGACTGCTGAGCCACAATTATCAAAACTGAGACATGTAACTTGATGTGAAGGATGATGTTAATCGATGAATGACCCAACCATACGCATACAAAAAGAACTCTGAGTGCTTGCAATAGGAGTTCAACCTTTGACCTTCTGATTAGTACTTCAGACGCTCTACCACTGTTAAGTGCCTTCCACTGAATAACATAATTTTTTTCATATTTTATAGCTTAAAATGTGATTTGGAGTTTTTGAGGTTGAATAACTAAAATGGAAAAAAAAATGCAAAGACTCGGTCTTCAATTATGATATTTGAGTGCAAAACAAACCTATTTCAGTCTGGTATTCATGTTCCACTGCAGCATCAATCTCTTCTTGCTGCTTCTTCAATGCATAATCTGTACAGAGAAAGACATCACTCTTAACCCTTTAACTCCAGGAAGTGGATAACAAGTAACTTTGCACTATAATATCTGTACATTATCCTGTAAACAAGTAATGAAAATACTCAAACTTATCAAGTAGAAGTTGGCCTCTTGATCTAACACCAAATTCTTGCTGGTAATTCACAAGGAAATGTGTAGCAGCAAGTGGGGAGAATTGGCATCAGATCTTGGGACTCTATGGGTTAAGAATCAACCACATACACACTAACTGACTGCAAAATTTCACCTCACCACAATGCATATTAATAAAATGAGGTATCAAACATTTCCATTAATTTATTACAAAATATTTATCATGAGCTCTGGCCATTAAAGAATTGTTGGACCCTTTAACTCTTGATGTTGTTATGTACAGTGAATGAGGCCATGCTGAGAATTAAGAGCCAGACATTTTCCCCTGCAGCCCTAACTAATTCAGTCAAGAAGAATTTTATCATATGGCCATGGGCCTTTTTCTTTTCTCCCTTTAACTCATGGCTCTCAGAGCTGTACAGCTTTGCATCATCCTAATCAGATGATTGTATACAGCCCACACTTGTTTTTTTTTTCTTCTAAATTTTTTCTACACTAAATATTAACCATTGCAGGAAGCTTCCACTGGTTGAACAACCAAAACAATGCATATTAAAAAAAACTTCCTGATGAAGGAGATTTGCTGTCTGGAAAATATGGGAAAAAAATTTGGATCATGTGCTGAAGTGTGGCTACCACTTCCGTCACCAAATAATTAGCCTTTTGATTGCAGGATTCTGTAATCTAACACACATGCAGTAGTGCCAACTTCAAAGCATCAGATGTTCCACCATGGCAGAACACACAAAATTCCAGTTCCCACATAGCTGATATTGGTATCAATTTTTTCTTACACAAGATGCTTCATGTCTGCCATAAGATTTTAACTAAAAGGGTCACTTTTGATAATTCATTGATACTTTGTTCCATCAGTGGAGCTTTCTTTTTGAGATGATACCTCTCACTCTTTCAGACAAATCTCGTCTTCCTATAAGCTCAAGGGCTTTCCGTAATGCTTTCATTGATGCGTCACCAGTTTTTCTTTTCTTCCACTCTTCAAACATTCCCACGCCTTTTTCTACAACTTTCCGATTTTCTGAGTCAATGTTGCCTATGACACCTTCTGTAAGACCAAGACGTCTTCCCAACATTTTCCAGCTTGTGCTCAGATCTTCAACAAGATTGTAAACTAAATCTCCAGGCACAGGCTTGTCATCCCAACTATTTGGCTGTGCTGCTGTGTTGCCAAAAACAAAGAAGAAAGAAATAATTTGAACCTTGATTATCCAGACTCATAAGGATTGGGCTGAAAAGTCCAGATATTTTCAGGAGTCCAGATAATCAAAAATAAGAACACTAATGAACCAAACCTAAAGCTGAATACCAATCACTTAAATCACCATATCATGTGCATCATTGTCAACTGACAATTGGCAAAAGTTAACATCTGACTGACACATTGTTAATATTTGCCTAAAGTATTTTCAAAAAGTCATTAAAGCTAACCAAAAACCTTTCACAGCCTAAACAGATGACATAACTCAGTTTGTTTCAAGCTGCTACTGCATGTGCATGTCACCTATTCTACATAGTGCAACATTCTTTGAAGCTCCATCAGTAGAATAATGCCAATATTGATTAAATACATGAGCACTGTTTGATGGGAAAAAGTTCTCACAGATCTCAAATGTGACTAATTAACATTCATAAAAAAAAGGAACAGAAAAAAAAGGCACTAATCGAGATCCAATTAATTGAGGTTTGACTGCAGACAAAAATCTTGCAGAAATGGGGGTGTTTGTTGAATTTCAGTAAACACTTGTCTAAGGGATTTGTACAAGGAACACACCAGCAAAATTTTATCAGAAGTGGACAGTCTGGCATAATTCATTGGAATCTGTGCAAAACTGAGATAACAGGTTTTAACATTTTCATATAGATACCATACAAAGATGTTCATGACCTGGAATTTTACCACTTTTAAATTAAATTAAGGTCATTCCATTCAAGATTTAACCCTTTAACTCCCATGACTGACCAAAACAGAACTTTCTTTCATACAATAATAAGCATATGGGCAATGAGAATGAAGAAAACTAATTCAGGGGAGTATTATCTGATCTGAAAACAAATTCTCCAAACTGACATCAAAATAATTGTATGGCATACATTAAGGAGAATTACTAATGAGATCTTTGGAGTGAAAGGGTTGATACAGGTTTGTGTGTACTTACATGCTACAAGTCCTTGATTAATCTGCGGTGCCATCTCATTTTCTGAAAATAAATGAAAATAAGACATTGTTTTGATCTGAAAATTGATACGAAAGCTTTGTTTGACACTTTTTACTTTAAGGTTATGTACCATCAAATTAAACCTTACTCTCCCCTCTCCTGAGTGGAGAATATGCTGAAGATTTTTGGTGTAAATTTAACAAGCATATCAGTCACAGATCACAGAATTTGATGAACTAAGAAATAAACTAACACAACATTTGGCTCAACATTGTTTCCTTGACAGCAGCAGAACCCATTAAGCCTTAAGACAGTGACACACTGCGCAATTTTTTTGTCAATTTTGGCAAATTGGATTGCTGCAATCAGCATGCCAGATATCACTGATTTTATACTCTGATTGCAGCACCAGGCACACCGGGTAAATTTTGCTGACTGCTGCCATTGGCATATAAAATTACCAATAGTGTCACCAGCTTTAACTTTTTTACAGCCAAGGGTTTCAATAAAAGCCAATAACTGGCAGTCTACTGCTGCCTATAAGATCATTCACTTCCATCTGATTAACCTACAGGCACTCTTTTTGATACTCATAATTCTTTCCAAGCTCCTACATTCAAATTTTTTCTAGGGTAGCTGGCCCCTTACATACATACATACATAAATAATTTATTTAAGTAGGTTAGAATAGCCAAACTTGAAAGGCTGATATGGACCTTACCCCTTGGGAGAAACATCTCACTAACTGCCCCATTACCCTGTCCAATTACAAGTAGGATGTATACACTGTCCTATTACTCCTCAAATCAGGCTGGTGATAACCAATCATGTTCGATAACTTTTTTATATTTTTGATTTTATGTGGTACTGGTAAGTAAAGGAGTGATTAGCTATTATGTGGCAGGAGAAGAGATGTATACGGCTGACCTGTGACAACAACTTTCAGACCCTTAAATTAACCACTTTGGCCTCTTGTCAGCTTTTGAAGCCCCTGGTATATCTTACATATCAGATTATTGTGTAAAGCATCTCGGATTCTGTATGAACCGGGATTTGTGACAAGAAGAAGAGGCTATTTAGTAATTCCGCGGGCGGAAGTGGATTTTCCAATCAAAACCGATGTTATACTTTCCAATCGAGCTCTTAAACTCGTACGTACAGAGAGACAGAAGATTAAAAGCAATGGATCTCACTCCCTACGTAGCAAAGCGCTGTATTTAAAGTTACTTTCACATTTCTTACTACCGTCCGTAAAATTGGCTTAGAGACATCCACGGACTGATTACAACTTACGTTTTACGACTTCATTGTACGATCAACCAACCCAAGAACGTAAATATCCTTACCTTGAATCCCTAAAAGTCTATTCCTCAAGTCATTTCTATTGATAGCAATAAGTTTTGAAGCCAAAAAATCGCGATTCTCTTCCGAAAGCAAGTTCAGACGTTCAAGCTCTGAGAAGAACTCGAATGCACGAGTAATTTTCTCTGCTTTTCCTGCCGGAATTACTTCTTTGCAGAGATATTTAAGCCCAGTTACATCTTCAGACGTTAAATGATTTGAAATATTCAACAGAAGTGCTCGATAATCACTCATTTTACTATGTTATCGAGTTAATCCATCGACTACCAATTCTTTCGAAGACATCATAGTTTGCAATTTCGGTCAGGGAACTTTCCCGCACGCAGAAAGGATTATGGGATGCAACGTCACCTTCTTCCGGTTTTTGCTCAACAAAACAGAATAAACTCTTGGATTGGACTCATGGAATGAAGAGTGGAGCTGCTGAATGCCAGTAAATAGGCCTGTCCCTCCTGTGCTCGTAAAATACTGAAAAAGTTCTTACCGGAATGCCAAAAAGTTTCTTAAAAAATTGCCGACAATCTTTTCTAGTTGAAGTTCTTGATACTTTATTGCTTACACTGGTCACGAAAAGTGGCTTGAAACTTAGCTTCTAAGAGTTACTGGGAAATATAGGCGAAATTTCAGGATACTCTTGCTACACATGGTTCACTTGACATCTTGCCAAACTTTATAAGGGAATATGACAGGTTACCCTTTCAAAAGGTTGTTAAACATTCGAGAAAATCGCATAAATTGCTCTTCCGGATTGTAGTAAAGTTCGTTACCAAATCGTCGACTCTCTCTTACTTGATATGTGCTCTAAACGTTTCTTTTGCTCGGAAATTGCTCAGAGGTAAAAGTTACAAGAACCGCAGAAAGTTGCTCCAAACGCCAAAAGTTCCTCAAAAGTTGCCGAGCACAATTGGCACAATCGACTCACCTTGCGTAGAACGTGTCGAAAACGCTCCAACACACGTTTCCTAATTTGGGATTGCGTGACTGTGAGTTACAGTGTAACGCGACCCGTTGCAAGGCAATCCCGTCCTCTGCGGATCCTCCTCCTTCCTTAACAGAAACCTTGGTTGCCTTGGGCCCTGCAGCCACCCCTCCTTCTTTTGTGCTCTCCACTCAGGATCTCAGTCAAGCCTTTCCCCGAACGTCAGGCGAGTCGTTACCTCATATTTTGGCGGTCATGTAAAGCCACTCCATGAATACGTGTGCTTCGGTGTCGCGTTACACATCGGCGGGAAACATGTTCTCGAACTCAACTTCTTCGGCCTGCTCTGCCATCAATTCTCCCCCATCGTCAGCAGGCTTATTATCAGGTAATTTTGTTGTTCCTTTGCTCATTTCCACGTATTGCACGTTACAAAGATCAGGTCAGGGAAATTTGCTGACATAGCCAACCTACTAGGCGATAACTTGAAGGCCCTGGAAGCGAAGCCGCAAACATATCTTGACGGCAAACGTGAGTTCATCAAATGGATACAAGATATCACCGACGTTGTCACATGGGTGGAGGCATTCATGGTCTGAATGTGGATTTTCTGCTGCGCACATCCTTCGAGATGGCAGGACCTGACGCAGTACAAGCTCCTGATTCTGAAGACCTCACATCAGTTCCCGGCAAAGCCTGGCTTCACGACGACATTGCCTTTCGGAAGGAAGCAGCTGCATCAGGCCTGGCAGACTGGTCTCTTATGAACCTCGACGTGTACAATTTCTACACTCGTTTGGTGCCACAGTCCGAGCCACCAGCCGCGTCTTCTCCATTCCCTAACTCAGGCAGCTTGTCATTCAACTTCTGCAGATCATGGAATGATGGCACCTATCGTTGGCCCTTTGATCAATGCTGATACCACCACAGCTGTGAGAAATGCAAAGGGGACCACCCTCACGTTAACTGTACTTTCGTGCCTCCAAATGGTATGAGCAGCACACTCGAGCAACTACCCACCTCGGTACAAACGCCAGCGGCGTTGACGCGGTCTCTAGATCGCTCAAGGCCCCTTACCTTAGGAATAATAGTGTACAGTTCTCTCGTTCAATTTCAGTTTCACGCAGTTCCTATTCGGTTCCGGTTAATGTAGTTGCTTCTTGTAAATGAGGTTCATACCTCCTTCACCACTGGGCATTCCATTACTGGTGCTGTTCAGCAAGATTTGGTCCCTCCTTCAAGAGTTACACCCCTTGATGCAGATAAACTGCAGCGGAACTTTGTTTTCACCCTGATCAAAGAAGGGCGGATTTTGCGATATCTGGTGTACCTATTGGTTTTCGTCTTGGCTTTGATCCTTCGGCGGTCTCGTTGAATTCTGCGACCCAGAATATGCTATCAGCGTCATTTCACCCTTCAGTGATTGATCAGTATCTCCTCACAGAACTTTAGAAAGGTCGGGCTGCCGGCCTCTATCTTATATCCGGCCTCTATATCTCCAATTCCAAGCCTACATGTCAGTCGCTTTGGAGTGATCCCAAAAGAATACCAACCTGGAAAGTGGTGGCTTATCTTGGATTTAACTAGCCAATTGGGTCATAGCGTCAACGACGGCATTCCTAAGAAGCCTTTTTCTTTGCAGTACATGAAAGTAGACGATGTCATCAGCGGGATCATGTCCTATGACTGAGGAGCGCCTATAGCAAAGTTTGATGGAGAAAGTACGTACTGCAATGTCCCTGTCCATTCTGATGATCGTTATTTGCTTAACATGAAGTGGCGAGGCAATTATTTCATCGATTTGGCTTATCCCTTTGGATTACGTTCTGCCCCGTTCATCTTTTCTTCTATTGCAGACTCTCATATGTGAAGTTTATCTTACACTACCTAGATAACCTCCACACATTGGATTCCCCCAACTCACCTGTCTACCAGAACAAATTGGATTTGTGTATTCGGCTTTTTGAGGACTGGGGTATCTCCTTGCACCCAAATAAACTAGAGGGGCCGTCCACTCGCTTAACAGTACTTGGGATTGAGCTGGATTCACCTGCCCTTCAGGCTCGTCTTCTGCGGGACAAGTTTGAGCGCATCTTTGCCTTGTCGGATACCTGTTCTTCCAAACAGTATTGTATGAGAAAAGAGCTGGAATCTCTAATCGGCAATCTCTAACACGCTTGTAAAGTCATTCCTTACGGGGCGTACCTTTTACGGTTTATGATCAACCTGTTAACAGCGTTCCGGCGGGATGACCACCCTTCAAAGCTTAATCAAGAATTCCGTTTAGACCTTTCGTAGATAGCATCCTCTCAGTAGCGGAACGAATTTCATAGTAGGTATGATGCTTATTATCCCTCACTTGCGCCGGTCAGCGGGTGCCATCGGATAAGGGTAGTTTTTCCTAGGGCCATGGCCAGCCTTTGCCATGAGCCCCATTTCTCTGTGCTGATTGCGCTCAGCTCGAAGTCCTTCGGCTTGGCGTGGGGGCTCATAGTTGGGTTGCCAGGATTTGCCAGCCATGGGAGAAGTCTCCATCTAGGAGCTGGTTGTGGAATAGTGGAAGCTTCTGGATGTTTCAGGCACCCAACCTCTAATTAGCGATGCAGTTGTTAACCGTTCATGTTTTGTTCAAGTTAGGCGCTCAAGGCTAATTTTATGAGACTTAGGTGGCATCTTTACCATGACAAGTGCCAGATTCGTTAGTGCGCGGAAGTTGGCGGAGCCTAACTTCAACTGAGGTAAGAAGGGGGGGGAGGGGCTTGAAAACAGGAAACGGGGCTGCGAGTTTGGATGGTGGGCTCCGTTTGAAACCGGGATCTCTCCTTTTCTTTCTCTTTTATTCTTCATATGCACCTCAGAGTAAAACAAAATCAAATGTCGTCCTCATGAAAAGTGGCGTGTAGAAATATAATTATTTTGGGGTTTTTTGTAAGTTATTTCTGGAGACAATGATCTAATCAGAATTTGTAACAGTTTTTTAGATTTCAGCATGATTTGGTGGTTTTGAGGCTGAAAGACAGCAGATGAATAATATACTCCACAGGCAAAGAAGTTGTTTGTCCTAGGGAAGCATCTTCTCCAAGTCTCTCCTACGCAACTTTAACGGCAAGATCTATTGGGATTTTTGTAAAGAGCGAAACAATTTCAAAAGACACCAATTCTTCACAAGCGTTAACAGTTTTATTTCTTATGAAATCCGCAAATTCGCAGGAATTTTTGACATTGTAATCAGTATTCCCAGCAACAGGCAACAAAATTTTCGTAAGACTGTGATCACGAGTATATCGGACGGACCAAACGTCAGTTTGGTACACGTTTAAAAGAGCATCAAAATGCGGTCTTCTTTTGCAATAAAGAAAATTAAGCTTTGTCAGTGCACAGATGCCTAACCAACCATGCAATTGGATGGGATAAGTCTAAAGTCTGGAAGCCTGGCATATCAACTCCGCCCACGCTTCTTTAAATCGTGATGATGGCGGCTTACCACATGACGCCTATTTATACCTCATCAGAAAAAAGGGCAGCTAATTATTTAGCACATAAAAGGACCTCTTGTTGCAGCGATTCGATCACCCCTGATGAAGGCACTAGACAGGAGTGTTGAAACGTTGGGTCTATGACTTGTAACTTCTCGGTTACATTTATTAACTCTTTAAACTAGAGTGGCATGAAACCATGTCTCATTGTCCACATGGTTGCCATAAGAACTTTGATATATCTAATGTGCATCATTGTCAACAATTGGCAAAAGTTAACGTTTTATTGACACATCATTGATATTTGCCAGAAGTACATGTACTTTCTTAAAGTCATTAAAGCTAACGAACAACCTTTCACGGCCTAAACTAATGACATAAATCAGTTTGTTTCAAGCTGCAACAGCAAGGGTGCATCACTAATTCTACATAGTGAATCATCCCATAAAGCTCCATCAATAGAATAGTCTCATCATTGATTCGATACATGAGCATTGTTTGATGGGAAAAAAATTCTTACAGATCTCAATTGTGACTAATTAACATTCGTAAAAAAATGGGACTAGAGAAAAATGCAGACAATCGAGGTCCAATTAATTGAGGTTTGACTGTAAACAAAAATCTTGCAGAAATGGGGGTGTTTGATGAATTGCAGTAAACAATTTTCCAACGGATTTGTACAGGGGTACGGGACATCAAAACCGATCAGGAGTGGACAGTCTGGCATAATTCGTTGGAATCTGTGCAAAACTCAGATGACAAGTTTTATTGTTTTCACATGGACCATAGTTAGTATGCATGGACACATATAACAATGTTTATGACTTGGAAATTTACCACTTTTTTGATGTTTTTCAAGTCATTCCATTCAAGCTTAAATCCTTTAACTCCCACGACTG